TTCATCGAATGTTAAACAAGAATAAAACGGTACCTGGGGTGCATCTGGGTGAAGTTTCTGGACGTGATCTTGTTATTCCAGTTTGGCGCGCGCGTGGATTTCAAATGCACGTTCCTTCGCCTGTCTCAGCCTGTTCTCGAAGCTGAAATGTGAGATTAGATTTTGTAGCTCCGCGTTAATAGTCTCCGTTTCCATTCCACTTTCCAGGGACGCAATACACAAAGATTATCAGTTTAGCTTTTTCGAAATACTCGCGATAGCCGGATTCAAGGAAACAGGTCGAGCTCGCCATACTTTGGGTCATCACAGCGCGATATCTGACTGCTCCTTTCATCGAAATTCGGGCACGTTCACCTGTCGATACGGCGCTGACCTTACGAATATCGTGGCATCCACGTGATCGAAGATAACAAACCGCTTTCCGCTATTGAGGAGAGTCCTTAACGATGATAAAACCGATATTATCGTCATCTTGTTTTATATCGTGCGACGAAGAGGAAACGACAAGGAACAGGGAAGAGGAGGAGAAGGCAGGGAGATCGCGTTGCTGCACGCACAGCCCTGATCTTTGGAGCGAGGAGACCCGTCGTTGCGTTGGTGTTGTCGACTTTTGCGCAAGTGCGTAGATATCGTAATGGAGGAGGCCGCGAAGTATCGCCAGTCAGCATCTGCCGCGCGAGTGATATATGATTTTCAAACGATACGATACAAAACGCGGCACGTAAACAGGCGGTAAATTGAATAACATCTCCGTTAAAATTGCCTGAGATAGCTATTCTCGTATCGACCGCCAAAGTTGATGATTACAAAGACTGCTTGTGTAGGCCGGCTGAGAACAGCATGCGAATCTTAGGGATTATAATACCGGATATCTTCGTTGTTAACTTTTTTGTCTTTGCCATGATTAAAAAAGTGCTATAATATACAGCCTTGGCCAAAAATACTAGGCATTTTGTCGAGGGGGTAACCACTAGCTGAAATATTGACCCACAGATTACATGATTTCATATAATTTCATCTGATTATAAATAATTTTTCTTCACTATGTATGAAGTAATTTGATAAAATGTATCATTTTATTTAATATTATACAATGATTTCTCGTGGTTGCATATGTAATCGGATTATATATAGAGATTTCATATGAATTTTATAATGATTTCGAGAATTCTGTCCCACGATTACATTAAATGGTTACCCCCTCGTACTTTGTTAACTATGAGCTTTGAAATTCCTTATCGAGGATAAGTACTATTTTTATATCATCATCGATCTTTATTTTGCACAATTAAGATTGGTATAACGTTTCGCGGAAAACTAATCTTTTTATCGGTCTTTCCAGCAGAAATACTGATCTTTATATCCGACCTTGTCGCTCGTTATTGTCGAGACGTTAATTGTTGCCGTTAATTCGCTCTAATTCCTCATATTGTGAACAAGAACAATGACCGCTTAGCAATCCTAGTTCTTTAATTAACCGACATCATTGAGCTAAAATACGTATCCTACGTATTTCTAGAAAATCAAATTCAATTATATGCGAGCAACAGTTATTTATTAATTGAAGAATTGAAAACAGAAAGGAAAATTCTCAGGAAAAATATATATGATATTTCATAAAGCAGGTTATATTCTTCTCTTATCTTTTACATCATTGAAACGGTAAACGAGATTGAGGATAATGTAATTTGACGTGGAATTAAATTTGGCTTCTTTTTATTGATTGAAAGAAAAACGACTCTGCTGCGCAACGAAGTCGTATGAAAAATAATAATATGCGAGACGTCGCGCTGGTTGCACACTTCGAGGAGCTTCCTCAAGGACAACTGCGCGACATTTACATATCTTGAATCGACAATTCTGAACGGTTATGCGGATGGGAATGTATAATTAGAAGAGGAATACTAATCGAGGGGCGACGTCGACTCAGCGATCGGAAACGAATTTCAACGTGAGAGATGCACGAAGATCTACTTTCATCCACTCGACTTTCCTACGAAACGAAATTGCTAACGATCAAATTTACCGCGATTATAATCGAGTCTCTTCACGAATTCCTAATATTTAGAGGGAACTGATGTAGCCTTCATTATGTATAAAACACAGAAATTCGCGATTTTCTTCATGGCAAGCGCCGAGTAAATGTTTACGCTCGCTCGCATCCTTCATTTTCAATCGTTTGTAGAACTCGACAATCGTGACCTTGATGATTCGATGAACACTTGAAACAAGGAGAGAATGCTTTTGAAATTTGAATATAAAAGCTGACTTATGTGAATGCAACAAATACTTTAAAGTATTTTTTAATTGGTCAGTTAGTAAAATTTTTTCTTTTAACTGACAAATTAAATGCTTCGAAATATTTATAGTGAATCTTTGACCTTAGACTATTGTTTCCATCTTTCAATAAATCTCAACTCGTTTTCTCATTTTTGCTCTCGTTCTCTCTTTCTATTTAGTCACTTATGTATTTTTGTTCCTTTATTCCTATTTTTACTTATTTCTATGTTCTTAGATGGCTTGCCAAAAATAATAATAAATGCCTTTAGCTATTTATGTATCTATTTCTCGGTCTTTTTATCTATTAGATAAATTACCACATAATTTATCCGAAAATGGCATTATAACTGACTAGACTGATATTCATAGACGGTTCTTATTTTAAAATAATGTCTTAAATAATGTCTTAAGATACAATCTGTGATGTACATCTTAAGACTGTATTGAAGATGGTCTTAAGTAATATAAGAACCGACTGTGAATACCGATTTTATAATGTTCATTCGATATGAAACTGGATTCCAATATCAGTATAAACTCAGGCGTTTGATTGACAAACAAAACCGAATGGGGTAACAACACTTACAACATTGTAGCCCCTCGGTGTCCACAAATCCGTTTAATTCTTGAACACAGCGCATTCGTTCTCGCGCAACACGGATTTCGATGATGCGGCAAGCAAGAGTGCATTTGTAAACATCGTGGATCAATGGCGTGTCATCGACATTTATCAGCAGGGGATGTTGGCGGGAGCGTGCGAGGAGGGAGAGAAAGACATTTACAAGCGATAAAATTACGCGCATGAGTCATCGTGCGAGATGGATCATCGCAGCCCGCTACTATTTCAGGCGGTCTCAAATAAATTCGACTGTGTATCCCTGTCCCCCTCCGGACAAAGAAAAGGAGGGATATTCTCCTTTCGCGAGCGATCGCGTCGTTTTGCGTCCACGCGATTATCATTGCCATCACTGCCGGTCACGTGTGGTGTACCACCTCCTCTTTCTGTCCGATCATTCATAAAACCGTCACGTAATTTTCCTCGTCACAGATTACTTTCGTCCGTCTGGTTCAGTACCGGTTCATACCTTGAGACAAGAGCCACTTATGTCTATTTTTACCAGTATAAGTTAACTTTAGCCTGGTTCAACTTACCCTTCACTTTTTTTGTTCTAAGAATTAGCAAAAGACGAGGAGTAAGTTGAACTGACGAGAAAACCCATGGAAGTATCCCCCTCTGATTTTGATGAGAAAGAATATTGCACTTCCTAAAAGTGCCATTGGGCCCCTATAAAAAATACGTGTCTCGTATTTTTGTCTAGAAAACAATGTATTCAATGTTCATCAAAATCGGAGGGGAATACTTCCATAGGTTTCTTGTGAGATAAATCCTTAGTACATGATTGGGCCATTCGTGTATTCTGCGAATTTCTTTTTAAAATACTAGAAGTACCTAGCTAAATAATCTCTTATCTTTTTCTTTTTTTAAATGCATAATCTTACAAATACTTTTCAAAGATGTTAAAATATGTGTAAGAATCGCTCAACAATTTTTATATAATACTCGTAAAAATGAGGAAAATTAATTCAAACATAGGCATTAGTGTTTTAAGGAGTTGCATAATTTTCTCATAAAGGTATTAAGGATAATTTAAGTTTTATTAATTTTACTTTCCTGGCAGAGCTGCTGTAGCGTAATGTTTGCATAAAACAAAATGAGCGATCACATAGCGACGTTGACTTTCTCTCGCAACTTTCAGATAAATTTGCGTTTGCTTTCTAAGTTTATAGACGACAATCGACGGTCAACATTTGTGTCTATTCTTATACTTGTTCTATATAAAAAAAAATATTTGCGCTTGGTGACGCGATGAAACAAAACGATCGACGTTCATAACGCAACGGTAAACGTTCATAAACACACGGTCGCCGGAAATTGATTTGGGGCAATCGCGATACTCGCCGTCGTCCCTGTACGCCGGTGAATACCCCTGACCTTACGAAGTTCCCCTTCTTGGTCGTGCAACCATAGGAATTGCGCACAAGGCGCGGGAATGTCGAAATGTCATATTTTGAAATTGTCCGTGAATCATATTACGAACTCTTCTCCCCTCTCTTGTGAACGAAACTATTGTCGTCGATGTCACATCAGATCTTGCGAGCTAGGTGCGCCATGCCTCTCCTGCTATTTTGGCCAGGGCCACCTGCGTGGATTACCGGAGATACCTTTTCTTTTTTATAACGAAAGGGATGTAGCGTGGCGTCTCTGAGAGGAAGACGTGAACTGGTAACGCCAGTTAACCGTGATTCGGTATTTTCTGTCTCGAATTTAAAAAAAAGAGGTTGTAGTGGCAAATATAGACTCATATAGCTCTATATTTTGACTTTAAAATGTAACGCGAGGTACATTTTCTTCATAAATAAATAATCTAATCTACACAGTGTTCTCTTCGTGTGCTTCCTGTTTTTTTACTCACTTTTTATCTTTCTTTTTGGCTTTTATCCTGTTTTTTCGTTTTCTATCGTTCGAGGTTGATGAACCTTGGAAGAGACGAGAAATATGTAACGAGAAACACGATTGTCGATAAAATTATCACCAAGAGAGAAATAGACAAAAGGTGAAAATTAAGATACAGAAAGCTAAGAGCACATTATAGATTAAGTAGCTTTAACTCTCGAGATAACTAGCCATCATTACAATCGTCATTCCTTTCGTGTTGCAGGATCAGCTCTTGTAAAGAGCGACCGACTGATAACGCACGAAGATCTCTCTCCGTCCAAGGACCCGGTGCAGCGACACTGCGAAACGACACTGCACGGGTCAACAAAAGCACAAGTGATATTTGTAACTAATAGTTAACGCGTTTAGAGCTTAGAGGAGCCGAGACCGTCTTGCGAAACTCCGTACTCTTTGTATATACAAATGTCGGATACTCGAGCCGTAATATTCAGTGCTAAGTCCAAGTGACGCGAAGTGTGTTCAACGCATCTCACTACGATCCCGCGTGGACCAGGACACGATACAGGACGCCAGAGTAACGGCTGCATCGAGTGACACACCGAGTGTGTACGTGTGCGTGCGTGTGCGTGCGTATCTGTGCGTGTGCGCAACATGAGAGTGGCCAGGCAACATCCACTGCATCTGCAAGTATCGACCCGCACCAACAATGGCAAGTTCTTGGTCGGTACCAACAATAGTCAAGACGTTGTCCATCAGCAGCCGTCACCGCAGCAACAGCAGCATTCGACCAACGACGAGAGCAGTGCGGTGGTGCCAGGCTGCGTCTTTCCGAGCTGCGAGTCAGTGCCCACCGACCTTCACGGGAGCCCAACTATACTGGGAGATCGATTCCTGCTTCTTGGTCCGGCCGAAGGTAGCGCTCTTTATCGATGCGTCGATGTGCACAACGACCAGCAACTTGTCGCCAAGGTTAGACTCCTCGAGATTCCTTTACAAATCGGTTCATCATTTTCATCGCTTCAGTTCCAACATGAATCGTCAAAATCTTGTTCTGTGTTTCTATAAAATCTTAGCGACTAGGAGAAACTATTGGCTAAATATTTGTAATATCTCGACAATAAATCAGTAGGGGGTGTATAACTTCTTCCATTAGCAACGCAATGGCTGTGTTTAAAAGACAAAGTTGCTCGATGAACGCTTAGTGATTTTTTTATGTTTGCCTTTAATTCTTTTCGAATTTAAAATGTACAGATCGATCATAATAAGCACCGAGCGTTCACTGACAATGAGTTAAGGTCATAGCATAGAATTTTGCATAACGCTGCATAAGGTATAAGGTACAAAAGAATCAATCAATCAATCAGAGTCCTTCATTTCATACTCTGATTGAATTCCTTATTCCTTATACATTAGGATAGGAGTACAAATTTTTGCGCAATGCATAAAGTGTAAGAAAATCAACTGTAGTCTATTATTTTATGGAAAAAAAAGGAAATGAAGGACTTTGGTTGGTTCATTTTCTTATGCGTTATATGTTAATGCAAGACTCTGTGCTCCCACCCGTATGCAAAAATCTGTGCTGTGGCCTTTGTTTTTTGAATGCAACTTATATATTAGCAACAGTGTACTATTAAACGACTCTAACAATACACGCGATAATTTTATAAGATCTATTTTAATTTTAAAACTTATTTTCTATATTGTTTATTTCTCAAATGTTACTTTCTTAACACGTCGAGGGAAAAAAAGTATTATTTACAACAGAAATTGATATTCCGAACGGCATTCTTATATAATAACGGCACAAATGGCTAACGCGATAAATAACCAAGGTTTCGCAATACCCGATGGCAATATCACGAATTAGCTTCTTGCCGTATAATGCGGCATTGGCGCGGCATATAAAGGCGACGCAGCGCGCCATCGCACGTGGATGCATCCGCGGCGCACTGCAGCTGCCGAGTTTCCATCCAACTGCCGTGGCGTTATATAATAGAGCATACGGACGTAACGGCTCGCTAATGTTCGGTTCGATCGAAGCTTCCACCGTGAAGCTCGTTGCGAGATCAACGACGACGCAACCGAACGGCGTTCGTCTGGGAAACGTTTACGACTTCCTCGAGGAAGACTCTATTAATCCTTATCTAGATTCCCTAATTGAAGGGAGAAAAAAACGATTTCCGTTGAGATATCCGTTCAATAGAATCGCTCGTCCACGATTTGAGATAGAGATACTTTAATTACGCTGAGGATGTCGAGAATTAAAGGAACCTATCGGTTTTTCTCTCTTTTAGCACTAAAGTATTGAATGGTCATTACTGACCGTTTCTATTATTTAGATTAATATTATTTTTCTTGTAAAAGATAGGATTCTGAATTTTTTTACTTTTCAATAATTATGTCCTTTATTGATGAAACGTTTGATTTTTCATCACTTTCGTTATTTTCATAATAATTCATTCACTTATGCCCATTTCTATCTGAATATAAATTAATTTTAATCTTGGTTCAACTTATACTCTTTATTTTTACTATTTATTTTTTATTAATTTTTAGAATTAGAAAAAAATTAATCATCTCTCTACAGTAGCCATTATTTAAGCTTTAAGTCTTAAGAAAATTGGCCAATCATAATCGATTATTCTCACATTCGATTGTGATTAGTTAATTTCTTACGGCTTAAGACTTGAGGTTTAGTTATTTTAGAAAGCCCATGAGAGAGAGAGAGAGAGAGAGAGAGAGAGAAAACAGAAAATAAGAGATTTCAATCTATCAAAATATTAAAATCTGTTATTCCCTGTTCCTATTGCCTATTCTTTTCGTTGTGCTAAAGTTGAACCGAGATTAAAGTTAATTTACATTGATGGAAATGAACATTAGTTCTTTAATGCCCGTTTCCATCAATATGGATTAACTTTAATTTCAGTTCAACTTACCTTCATTTTTTTTTAATCCTTGGAATTAGAAGAGACGAAGAGTAAGTTGAACCGAGATTAAAGTTAATCTCGGTTCAATTTACATTGGTGGAAACACAGTTATTAGTAAGTAAGAAACGTTAATACTTCTAGTATTTATAACACGCCGTTATTCCAGATTCTCTGTGCGATTCTTATCGAAAGCGCTTTAACTGGAAGTTTCACGAACTCGAGACTTATATCCACATTTTGCATCGATAACGACGACGGACTTCGTTACGTAGATCAAAGTACATATGCAAACGTAACATGCGTGCAAGTCGTTTCCTGTTCCTCGAGTGCGTTTATGTTTATTTATGTCTATTTGCCTACCGTATCGTATCTACATCTCAGAATTTCATATCCGCGGAAGGATTTCAATGTTTCGCGTTTCTCCTTATTTTTCTCGCTCTCTTTTTTTCTCTTTGCAACTCGCTCGAAGGGAACTGTCACATAACACGTGACTACGAATCGGCGTGGATTAAATTCTATATCAGAATCTAGCCACGATTTTGTCAAAATCATACGAGAAAGAAAATCATATAAAGTTCTCCCTGTACATTCCAAACTATTCCCGAGACATAAACTATCTCATTCTAACTTCACTTCAGAATTTTAATTAAAATTATGGAGTGAGATAGTACATTAAAAAAATTTACTAAATCTTAATACATATTTCTTTGAATAGTACTAAGTGAACGTTTACTTACAAGTATAAATATTTACTCAAAAAAAGAGTTAAATCACATTAATGATTTTTGTATCAAATAAATATATGTTTACATTTAGTAAATATTTACTTAAAATGATTCAAACAAATATTTATTAAAATTTGTTTTTTTTCCAATGTATGAGTGAGATGAGATAAATAATAGGTACATATACAGGGAGAAATTATATATTATATTTATCTTTCTCTCTCATAGGATTTTAACAAAATCGCTCGTGACCATATTCTGATATAATAGGGTCTTTAGCGTGGACCTTCCTCCCCGTCGCGTTTTCTACTAACATTTTACAATCGCCACGCGTTATACAATGAGTCGCTTACATCATCGGCGTTGTGAACAAACACAAGGTTGTGTCACCTCGCACCCGCCTCTCTCGCCTCGTGACATCCGTCGAGTATCGCCACACACTGTCCGTTATTCATAATCGCTTCTAAAGCCACGGTCGTTTAATTTAATTGACGATTACACACGAGAGCGTAGCGCGCTTTCGCAAGCGTGTCCGCGCTGTGCGAACCGCGATTGTGATTTCGGAGGAAGAAGAAATAGGGGTCACCGTTATTTCGGAGAAAGGGGGTCGCAACCAGACTAAAACCATTAACTCTTCTCGAAATAGTTACGAGACAAGGACGCGTATTATAAAAGAAAGCGTTCATTGCTATTCATATTTTTTTATCACAAAGTTTCATTCGATTGGAAACGAATTCGCGTTACAAAAATTTTTCTATAAAACAGCTAAAAAAGAAGTCGATAACCGTTATTCCATACATTAATTATATTGCATACTGAGAAAAAAGTTGAAATATTCAAAAGTAAATGTTACTTGTAACATTTTCTTCGAATTTCGAATCAATATTTATTGGTTATTAAAAAAATCTGATGACAGAATATATATTTCTGTGAATATCTTATTTTTCTTATTAATTGTAAAAAATAAAATAGATAGCTTATTTGCTAGTAGTTTTATTTCGTATTTAAATGAGGATTTAAATAATGATTTATTTGAATGAAATAAACATATTTTTAAGTCTCTTTTTCTCAGCACTTGACAAGTCGCTGAAAAGTTATATGACATTTGAATTGACTGTTGAATTTTCCCAAAAAGCTGATTTTTCTTTTTTTACATTCATTTTTTACCAAAAACCGCGAGCGAGTTTTGGGCGCATTTTCTTGAGGCATTACAAAAGCGCGTCCGATGGCCGATCGGGATGATTTCGTAAAGAATGCACGGTGCTCTTATTAAACTAATGGGACTCGAATGTCGAAACGGTGTCAGGTTTCGACACGAGCCAGAGAGATGAACAGCTGGACGAGTAGAGTTTCAAAAGTGATCGACGATTTCGTTTACTGTATGGTTTTCATAACATACAGAGTTTTTTACTGGCAAGGGTCAACAAAAAAAAACATTTATAAATAAATAATGCATGTACAAATCTACAACCGATTAGATTCTATCCCCTTTCTTATTTTTTTTAATTTGTTATATTATATCAAGAGTTAATTATAATCAAAGTTGTGTCAAATTCATGGCATAATTATATATATGTAATATGTATAGTTTCAGTGTCAAATTACTTTGATATCGAAATCTGAACTCGGTCAATTAAAATAATTGGAAAAATTAGAATGGATGTAATTTTATCAGCTTCAAACCTGATCGGGATTTTAAAACTAGATAAAGAACGTATCTTAATAATCGTCATTTAAGTATGCGAAGTGACTATTGCTCTTTTACGGATATCCGCTGGAATAATTGAAGCTCGTTACGATAAAATTCATTTCCACTCGAACTAAAATTGAACACAGAAATTGATACAGCCGGTATATCGAATTTCCGCACTTGTTAAAAGAAAGAAGCATATCCTTTTAACTTCTATACAATCCGCTTTTAACTCCTATAGAAATATATTGAAACCCATTCCAGGAATAAAGACTTATCAATCAGGAATATTAACCTTTAAGTAAGTCCCCACACCATCCCATGCGTAGTTATCTTAAAAATCTTGTTTTGAAAAAGAAAAATAAAAAACCTTGTCCAGAAATCTTAAAGTTCATTATTTTTACATTTAACTTTATAATTAACTATACATATTAAATAACTATATTATCAAAAAATTTAACTACAAAAATAAAATTTTGTGGGGTATTCTGAGCATCTTACCTACTTAAAAGTTAAATGCAGTAAATAATGAAAAATACTGTATCAGTTAATTAATTGTGACTAGTAATTGCAATTAGGAATAAAACATCTATCTGGTGATACAGATTTGACAAATCTTGACAGACTCTGGAGTTTCACTTCCGGCGTATTTTAACAATGTTTTTAACGACAGTACTCGTTGCAATTGTCTTTGTTGCTGACTCCGTTGCATTTCCGGATTGCAGGCGTTGACCGTGGGCGACAAAGGTTGCGAGGCGTTGCTGCAGGCCCACCTTCGTCTGGAGGGCACCGGTGCGGCGAGCGGCGTGGCTGGTGTAGTGGAGGCACCTGGAGGCCGACGTTATCTCCTCTTGGAGGGCCATCACGGTGACCTGCACGCCTACGTAAGGGCACGCAGGAGACTGCGTGAGCCCGAAGCAAGGCGGCTCTTCCGGCAGGCGGCCAGGGCCGTGGCCACGTGTCATGAATACGGGGTCGTGTTGAGGGACCTCAAGCTCCGGAAGTTTGTTTTCGCCGATGAAGCGAGGTGAGAATCCGTCTACTTACAGTATTTAACTTCTTCAAAGTGAATTCGACTAAGCTTCGGCTTAACTTACTCAATGATTGACTTGTGAAGTAATATTTAAAAATATTTTATTAACATAGAATTATTAATTTTACGCTCCCATCGTAGACTAGATTTAAATTTAATTATTTTTTTTTTATAAAACAATGCTTTAAAAATGTTGAAACGTTATGAAGGAGGAATATGAACATTTTTTTTAAGTTGTCAGTTCTTATCATAGTTGGATGTCTATTATACTCATGTAATAACGGAGTAAATTTTCAACTGATGTTTGATAAAAAAGGTAATAGAAACCGAAGTATTTTTCTCGCGTCGATTTATTGAAAGTTGATAAGTGACACACATCCGGATCGAAGCGAAGGTGTATCGATAGCGCAGAGTTCGCATTCGCTTTTCCGAGTGAAGGGGAAATCGATTGCTTCGAGTGTGCTTTCCTCATGCGAATAACCTCTCTGTTCTCGACGCTGGAAAGAAATACTTGCAAATATGAAAATAAAATAAATAGGAAACTTATCGCGCATCGCGTGACATTGTGTTTTCGTTCGAAGAAGACAGAAAGCGTGTTTACACATAGGTACATCGTATCAAAATGCATTTCACCTGAAAACTCATTTAAAATAAATTTATTCAAGAGCACTCGATTATTCTATATCTATATATAGAAATGGAAGAGAAAATGAAATTTGTTGATTCATTGATATCAATCGATTTCTAAGTTAAGCATATTACAAACACCATGTCTAATTTATGATTCTAAAAGCCAATGATTTTTTAGACTCGACAGAGGCAAGCGGTACGAAACGATCCTGTTTGCGAAAAAAAAAAACGCGAAATCAAATTCAAATTTGTATGAAGTTAAGTTATTTGACTCAAGCCAAATACAAATTTACATGAAATTAAGTAACTGCTTTAACTCAAACCAAATTTGCATGAAGTTTGAGACTCTTTAACTCAAATCAAATTCAAGTTCGCGTAAAATTAAGTTTACCTAATGCATAATGAAAAAATACAATAGAAATAGGGAATAACAAATTTCAACCTATCAGAAATCGTATATACGGATAGGTTAAATCTGTTATTCCCTGTTCCTATTACCTGTTCTTTTCAACTTGGTCTCAGGCTCGATTCATTGTCAAACAGGTGTATCGAAGTCGCTAATGATCATAAACAAATCATTGCAAATCTTTACGAGTTATGAACAGTGTGATCGCGTTCATTATATTCCTGTAGGATTTCACGTCGAGTCGTGATTTAGGGTGTGTTTGCGAGGCTCGTTGGTGCGGCGTTATCTGTTCGCGATACAACATACGACGCACCCACGTGTCGCTGCGGAAGGCAGGCAGACAGGCAGGCCTATAATGTATAATACACACAGGCAACAACCGACCAAGTCAAACCGAGCCGGGCGTGTGTTGTGTGTCGTGCACAGTGTACGCCGGCAATCGAGAGATCGACTCGTATGTCGGTCCGTTGTTAGCCAATCGCATTCCTACCGCGCGGCGAGCTGCTGCTCCCGCGCGCGCGTACGTAAGAATAAGGAGAGTCCGGGGAATGTTGCAAGCCAGAAAAGCATATTGGTTCATCGGCTGCTGCGGCGGGGTTTTGAAACGTCGGTATAATTAGGAAACGCGTGGCTCGGCTCGTTCCATCGGCGCGGCACGGCGCGACACGGCCGACATCCGAGACGGCGCGTGGTATACTTTCCTCCCTTTCTCTGAAAGGGAGAAGTGTTTCGCGCCTTCCTCGCGCAATCCCCTTAGGATGCAATAATGTGCGAAATTCGATATCTAATGAAGAGTTCATAATAACAATTATCGAATGAGAACCCGAAAACTTTAATCGGCATACGCTAAATCCTATAAGTTTGACTAACGTGGTAAATTAATTCAGTAATACCCGTTTCTACCAATGTAGATTAACTTTGATCTTAGTTTAACTTCCTTTTCATCTTTTTCTAATTCTAAGAATTAGACAAGAATAAAGAGTAAATCAAGATTAAATGGACATGGTACTCGTTTATATCAATGTAAGTAGTTTAATTTTAATCTCGGTTCAACTTACTCTTCATTTTTTTTTATTTCTAAGAAAATTAGTTGAACCGAGAGTTGAAATTAATTTACATTGATAGAAACCAGCATAATACCTGTCAGTTCTAATGTATAGATTAGCTTTAATGTCACTTCAACTTTTAATTTTTTTTTTATTATAATTCTAAAAATTAGAAAAAAATAAACAGTAAGTTAAACGGAGATTAATTTGCATTGAAGAAAACAGGCATAAATCTTTCTTAAATCTCACACTGAAAAAAATATAAGTACTAAATTTTAATAAATATTGTTTGAATAGTACTAACTAAATATTTAATAAATATAAACATATATGTGTATTTGGTCCAAGAACTATTAATTTGATTTAGCAAATATTTATTGAGTAAATATTTCTTTGTTTAAATAGTACTATCTAAACATTTACTAAATGTTTAAATATCAATAAATATTTGTTCAATAAAAAAGTGATACAGCAAATGTTTAATTAGTATTATTTAATCAAATATTAAAATTTAGGAAATTTTGTATTTTGGAAATTTAGGATTTTGTCAGTGTACGATTTTAAAAGAAATCACTCGCAGTTACTGGTTTCGAATGCGTACTTCTTCCTTTTCGAAAGTTCGCCAAGATCTCCGTGCACGGAGATCTTCCGTCTCGCTCGTGGATCTCTCGCGTGGGTTTCTCTTTACCTCATCGGCTGACAATAGGCGGATCAAGGCGATCAAATCTTCAGTCTTTTCCCGGATGCGCCTTCGCGTATGGGTTCGACCTATGATAATTTGCTAAATACGTCATGCGCATATCTCAGCAAAAAACATGCGCCGTCGTTATCGTCATTATCGTCGTTATCGTCATCATCGTCGTCAACGACGGCGTTGGACATAGCATTAGCTCTTGATGAGAAGCACAATGCGATCTCGGGGCCAGATTTCTCTCTACACATCACGTTTCGCAACAGCGCCGAGCATTGAGCTGGTCCAGTTCGACGCCGAATTCAATCAACGGAATAGTCATTCGTGAGGTTAATGATCCCGATGAGTAAAATCGTCAGTCTCGTTTAATTCTTGCGCCCGAGACACTCTCTATTCTTGAAAGTGTAAATCCGGGACATTGACCTGAGGACCTGTATTCGGGCATTTCGTACACAGACATCCGTGTAATTTATTTAAATATTTACATGAAACATTAACCCTTAAACATCTTTTCGGTATGGCATATCTGATTTTCTTTTTTCAGTACTTTTTCCAGTACTTATATAACTTTTTTATTAATAAATATCAAAGCTGCACATATTTGCTTAATGTTACGTTCCTTAAGTTTCTTATTTTCTGATCAATTCTGATGAATTTATGTTTTAGAATTAACTTCACTTAATTTAATGATAATGTAAAAACTGCGTTTTTCTGACTATGATTAATTATTAAACTGATGGTTTTATACTGGTAATTTTATATTAATTAATTTAGTGATTAACTGCAGCTAAAGAAAACAATTTTTATATTATGATCAGATTAAATATAACAAGTTAACAGAAAATGAAAAACTGGACCTTAACGTTTGGCGTTTTGACTGAAGAAAAATGTTTTACAATATGTTCATTTTTACGAAAGTTACAAGCAATCGATTTGGATGGGTATGTCATAGTGTTATTCTCGGAGCGTGGTGTTTAAGGATTAAAATAGTATTATTTTATAATTATGAATTATATTTTAAATTTTTAACTCGATATTAACAACGTATTTATAGGACGATTATTTTAGAATAAAATATTCTAAAAAAAAATAATTTCTCTACATCCGCGAGATGAATTATGCGATTCGTTCAAGTATCCACGTAACTTCGCGTGTATATAGCCGATTAGTTCCGGATTTTCCTTGTACAGTATGAAGATTAATATAATCGTGAGATGAAAATTATCTCGAGAATATTCACCTTGTCATTAGAGACATTAATTTGCCGAGTGTCTGCGAGCGTAGTTAATTGATTAATGACGCTTGATTAATGATTCAGCATGTGGCATCAGCGGGATCTTCTTTAGACTTCGCAATTGTAACATAGCGAAGAAACGAGAGTTGTGCTCGCATTTGGAGTCCAAGGAGATCGTTGCCTTGAAAGATCGATGCCTTCAAATATCAACATTTTCTCGACGTTCATGAAATTTCACGAGCTATCCAAGAAATCACATCTAGTGCCTAGTATCCGCCGCACCGAGGGGTTCTTGAACCCGGAGCGATATCGTGCTGCGACCGAGTGAAAGTTTGCGAAGAAAGCTGTGCGATACCCTCTCCCCCCCCTCTCTCTCATTATCTATATCTGTCTCTCTTCGCGACGACCGCGTTTGGTTCATCACGAATGGCCTAGCGTGCCATCGCGTTCGTTCGATTCATTTGCTCGTGAGAGAGACGAGGCCATTGACACTCGTTCGGATTGTCAAGATCGTATAACGACTCTCTCGCGTGCGTTCACTGAAGGCGCGCTTCCGTCTCATTAGTCTCTTCCGAAATGCGCGCTAGCTGAAATAGATTTTCCTCGCTGCGATGGCTTCATTGAAAAATGATTCCTTTCAAATAAACACATTGTATTCCGTGAATACAATGGATTATATTGTGTAATTTGATCAGAATGGCCATAAAACTGGAGCTTAGAGAAATGTCAGGGAAATTGAAAGCGGTCAGGGAAATCAGGGAAAAGTCAGGGAATTTTGCAAAATTTTGTGGAAAGTTAAAATTCTTGTCTTTGAAGAAGATTAATATGTATACATCACATCTACGCAATTTTGAAATACTATCAACTTAACAATTAAATGCAAGCAGTGTCAGCAATATCAATAACAATTTACATTGCTACGTTAAATTGCTCTCTCAACAAAATATTTTGATCCTGATAAACGAAAATACAAAAAAACTTCAAAATATTATTGAAAGTATTAGAAAAAATCATGAAATTTTGTCTGGGAATCAGAGAAATGGAATTCTTGGATGAAGCATTTGTGGCAACTCTCTTGTTAGAAATTTCCTTCGTTTATGATGATAAATTCATAAAAATGTATTCACAAAATAACATTACTGTATTAATAATAGGTTACGACGGAATTAGTGCGAAAGCTTTTACGACGAAAACTCAATTTTCCAAGAAATGCAATTTTGATTTAAACGGTATTCATCTCTTATTACTTTCTCTTTCAACTATATTATTTTATTAAATCCGTAGAAATGCAACAAGTTTTAAAATAAATGAAATACCATCAATCAGCAATTCTAATATTCAACAAAGCTAAAATATTTCTGCTGGAAATGACAAGTAATGGAAATGTACTTCTGTAGGAGGATATGATATAGAATACGTGGCGCTTTCCCGAGCGCTGCCCCTTCTCCCGACTGAACATTGTGGGCGAGAATACGAGAACTCGTGTCGAAGGAGAGCTCAGAAGTTACCCAAGAGCCAAGAATATTACGTACACGCGCGACTTCCGCGTTGCAGGTTGATCAACGCAGCGACTGGCCAGCACAGCGCAGCGCTCTCCTCTCTTTCTCTCACTCTCTCTTCCTCCTGTATTCATCGTCGCGTCTTATTCCACGCTGCCAACGACGACGATGACGACGGCTGAGAACGATGGCTCAATCGCGATGTCCTCTTGCTAAATTGAAATACCTTGCCTTCGGGCGCGCACTTAAAGTACACGCGCGAGGCGAACCCGAGGATCTCTCTCGACCGCGCGCATTAAAAGATTGCATGATCCTCGGCTTCTAGTCCGCAAACTTACGCAGCGAATAGATCATAACCGGTCGATAATAAGTGCAGGGCTTGGCGTAACGCGTGTATGAGACACGCAGAGTGAATTTCACACGACGATAGGAAAAAAGACCGTAAATCTTTTGCAACATTTAGTATTCTACTCATGGCTCCTTCGAAAGATAGATTGAGCACGGTCTTTAATCTTATCGATATCTGGGTGGGCTGTTCGTCTGGTACACGCCTACTAACTATTGAATAGTATTTTTTTACATCTTAAGAGCTGAATAAATTAAGACTAAAGGGATAGAGATGGACATACCTGGAAAGAACGGTTTTTCTAAAGTATCTAAAAGTTTAGTTTAATACAGATCTGAAAATAATTGTTGAATTATCAAAGTAATTATATAGAACGTTTAAACGTTGATGACAATGCTGCAAAAGAGTGTAACATTCTATTCTTAGAAAAAAATTAAATTAATTTAGTTAGTGTTTATTTTTTTCGATGAAGAAGGATATGTGTATTTAAAGTCAAACGTATTACATTTGACTTAAATGCATTTCGCAATGAAAAAAATAAAGATAACACAATTAATTTAGTTGAATGAACAATTTTTTTTTCGCAGTGTAACACCAAGCTTGAGCGTCCTACATAATTTTTTTGAGGGTTCAAATTAAATCGTTTCCAGATCTATACCTAGCCAAATCTAATGGGTCAATCCTAAGCAGAATCGTAAGACTTGTAATGTGTTCTCGTAAAACTTGTAAGAACTTATGACTAATTTTATGCGTATGTATCGTAAGACGTACGATTATTCGTAAATATCTACGATTTCTTGTAAATTTTATGGCTAGTAAGAAGCTGTCTGAAAAAATATTGTATAAAGGTATAAGCACTTAAAAATTCTTACAAGTCTTACAGGAACATGTTACGAGCCTTACGATTTTGCTTAGAATTTAGGCATAAATCTATTACATCTATTTATATTTGTATCTTGCTAAATTTTTAAATACTTCAGCAAAATCGTTTTTTCCGTCTTGGGACATGCAATTCGATTATCTGTAAGGCTGGAATCAGACTACGCATTGAAGATTGAGATTGAAGATCGAAGATTGAAATTTGACCAATGAGGACAAAGGGATTTTAGCTTCTATTGTTTTGGTTGGTCAAATTTCAATCTTTCAATCTTCAATCTCAATCTTCAATGCATAGTCTGATTCCGACTTAAGACAATGGCAAATCGCGAGAAATTGATTACTGCAATCTTGACGAATATTTTCCTATCGGACGTTTCTTTTTTCCAGAACGCGGCTTCGTCTGGAGAGCCTCGAGGACGCGGTGATCGTGGAGAACGACGACGACAAGCTGACCGACCGGCGCGGCTGTCCAGCGTATGTCGCGCCGGAAGTGCTGCGCTCCGGACGCGCCTATTCCGGCAAGGCGGCGGACATCTGGTCGCTGGGCGTGTTGCTGTACACGATGCTGGTGGGCCGTTATCCGTTCAACGACGCCGAGCACGCGTCCCTTTTCGCCAAGATCTCGCGCGGCCTGTTCGCCGTGCCGGAGGGCCTGAGTCCACGCGCCAAGTGCCTGATCCGCTCGCTGCTGCGAAAGGAGCCGTCCGAGCGGCCATACGCTTTTTTTTGCGGCTGTCGAAGCCGTTGCGGTTACACACGCCTACGTCCGGTGGCAGGTCCTCGTGCCAGGATCAAATCGTACCAGAGCTATCTATTAATCCTCAACAAGACTGACTCTCTCTCTTTCGGGGGAAGAATCATTATTCCGCGCGTGACGGCATCACTCTGTCTCATCCTAGTGCTTCTCTCGCGCCGACAGCCGAGTGGAATCCTCCGGTCGAGAGGGGGGAGTTAGCGCAATCAAAAGAAGAAAAGAGGCAAAATGATTTTCTTTTAACACATTGGCTGTGCCCGTAGAGCAGTAGCAGATGAGCGGATCGGCGAAAAGCGAAACTGTCTTATCTATTAAAGAATCCGAAAAATACATGCGAAAGGTTGAATGAAACAACTATTATCAAAAGAGCAATATTCAATTAAAAATTCTATCTTCAAAAGATTCGTAAATTGAGAAATATATGTATATCTTGGCAGTGTGTTAACGGCAGCTGATTTTACACGCTTCGTTCACAGAAGTTTGAGTCGCACAGTCTCCAACTTGGATCAAAGAATCGCATCGATCCTTGCGTCGTGGAGACGTGCGGCTAAATACTAAGGGTCCTCCTCTTTTCGCCGGTCGAGGGACGGCCTAGAATAAGCTTCGAAGATAGAGCGTACTAACGTGAGAAGAGTTAATCATTCTCGATGAAACTTTTATATAGAGGAGAGTAACCAAAGTCTCTATCCTGAATACAATGCCCTGGATTATTTTTCTCGTTTAAAGCTTTAGCCTGCGAGTTTGAAAGGTCAAAGTCGAAACCTTGAATAAGATGATATTACGTCTCTCATTATATAAAGATAAGCTCACTCTAGTCCAGAGACAACTCGCAGTTGAAGCATCGGACAGAGAAAGTAATTGAGGGGATCCTCTGTAAAATAGCGTCTCGATTTTGGTCATTCTCCGCTGGCAATTTCGGAGGCAACGTGACGCAAGTGATTAGTCTCTTAAAAAAAGTCTATCGGCTATATAGAATCCTAGATTCGAGAAACATTGCCATTACCGGTCCAAGAAATATTTTGCCTTGTTGCGTACAGACATATTCGCGCGTGCGCAGGCGCGAATTTCTTGTGATAGAATCTGACAGATTCTGAGCGATATATGTGATACGAAATATACAGGTTCTTTCATAAGCGTTATACGGTTACTTGCGGTCATCTGTCTCTGAAGTCCATGTACATTAATTAATATAAACGATCGAATTTGATGTTTGTATTGTGCGTTAGACATACCCGAATACATCCTCGACTTTCTCGATATTTCGCGTTGCGTATTTACCCGGATAATTTTTCACGCTATATCGGCGAATCTGCTGTACACACGAATAAACAATTATGTAAATAGCGAGGGACGTGGAATTGATCGTAAGTTCAACCGGTGAGCTTTGTATAGTATAGTGTATAGTATAAAGCGATGAATATATATATGAATGGGATCAGAGATTAAGTCGGATGCAAAGTTAAAAACTCACGCAGTCAAAAGAAGAGAAAATATAATGATTCAACGCGAGAAAATAAATCGCCTAATGACGACCAAACGTTTACTAGAACAGGTCGAACGAATTTAACAAACGAATTTCTAATTTAAAATCCGACTCATTCTTCCTGCATGCCCTTGTCATCATTATATCACGGAATCAATCAAATATACTAAGCGGACATTGAAGGAAGGAACATTTCTCGTTTGAGCGCGATAAAACTTCATTCTCCGACCTAAAAACATTGCCTAAAAAGTTCAAGACTGCTTGGACGTGTGGCCTATACAATTAACTTTATTAGAGAAAACGCAAAATACGCGTTGCACAGTGAATTTTTAACTTAAGAACAATAAAAGAATACGCTTCTGGATTACTCGCACGACAGAGTATCCATGAATATATAAATGTGTTCATCAATGGCAATGTTTTCAGGTAGAAGTAACTCTCTAGTGAATCAAAGATTTACTCTCTTCTGACCTCAAAAATCATCGCTTGCGCGACATATGTACGGCTCACTAGGTTTCGATTTTAAAAGCAAACGAAGCGAACGATCGACATTTTTTAATCAGTTTGGACACATGAGGCTGCGCGTCCCATTTTGAGGATTTTTCTCTTGAATAAGACTCTTCGATCGATATAAAACTACGAATAATTCTCGACTACTTTCAGTAGACACTTTTGTCATCGCAAGTCAATTATGAGAATAAAATTCCAAAGCAGACATTAACATTCTTATTTGCATCAATGCCAAGTAGCGTGATATTTTTGTAAAGTTATTTTCTTCTTCGTATTATTGTGGATTTAATCATGTTGTAATTACTTTAGTATCGATGTTAAATAAAGGAACACCGATGCTGCAGTCGTCGGTAGACGTGCCCAAAATAGTACTCCTGAAATGTTTTCCGGAGTCAAGACTAGGTTTAAAGCTAAGCAATCGAGATTAAAACCGCTATCTTATATAGACGAGACTAATTCGAAATAGCATTTTTTGATCCTTTTTAAACGATGAAATAGTTGCGAGGGGAAACCAAGTTTATAAATATCGTCAAATAATTTCAGAATCGAAATTCGATTCCGATGAACCAAAATTTATTAGTTTAGATATATATATATATTCCAGAAAATTGCTTATTTAATTTGGGTGGAAATTTCTATGGGTGCTTTCCAATTGTAAAATCACTAAACACTTCCACGACACAAGTTACGTTCCAATTGCCGTAATCGTTGACACAACAACTCGAGTGTTACTAGTCGGCTGTGTAAGCTTGTGTTTTCTCGTGACAATTACAGGGGTGCGTTCAATTCGAATATCATTTTATTCTTGTTGTTCACCGAATATTGAACAAAGATAAAAGATGTTTGGAGTCGACAGAGTTGAATTTTGGAACGCACCCCATTTTAATCGCAGTGGCTATAAATGAGCTTTTGGAGGAAGAACCCCTGACTCCTCGGGGAGATTTTTGCTGGATCGTAAGATCAAATTAACGTATGGTACTTTGACTCAAATAAAGAGTTGGAAATCCATCACGGGGACTGTTAGAAGAAGAAGAGAACGTTGGATGGCCGGTTTTTTTGCTTTTCTTCATTCAATACAGATGGAAAAAGCTACATTCAATCCAACTATCCGAAACCGTGCACAGCGTACATATTCTGTTCTAATTGAGTCGTATACAATGCTACATGTGAATGCTGTGTTGATCAATTGGAAAGCACTCTATGATAAACGACTGCGGAATACCGTTTGTTTCGCGAAACATCGGGGATTGTACTAAACATGAAAATCAGAATTGTTGAAGTACAGTTCAGCCTCATGTGAAACTCGAATCGGATCCGCGTCGGACGAGGAATATCTCGTAGCTTGTAGAAAACTGGCTTCGAAATTAAAGAAAGAAAAACTCTAGATACGACGGGTTTGTCGATCGAGATTGCGACTCGATCCTTACTTCGGTCCCTCACGTTCGACGAAAGTACCATGTGTTCTTGTATTTAAAGATACCTGTCTACCTACCTATCTACACGAACTTTTTTGTAACTTCCGCGAAAGTGAAGAGAGAAAGAGAGATAGACAGATAGCGAGAGAGAGAGAGAGAGAGAGAGAGAGAGACTCCTCATTTCCTTTTTATTTTATAATATTCGCGCACCGCAACGGGGCACGGTAACCCAGATGCGGCACTATTCCTCCTCGTATCGTTCTCAGTCAGGGTACAAAACGCCGCGCGCATCCATCGACGTTTAATTTGTACACAAGTTCGACACGATTAAATCCTATTGTATTCAATCATTGTCTAGGTGCGTTTAAGGGAATTTCGTTTCTGTACATAGATAAAATAAAGTGGCGTTTACGACGAAGAGCCATCTTTTTCTTTAGCTTGCATCTTTCTCAGATTGACGCTTTTACTGATAATAAGGCACATTATGTCTTGGCAAATTTAAGGATGTATTACACATTTTAATATAATGAAAAAATTATAGATTCTGAATCTCATTTAAAAGTAATACAAAAAATTTAGCGACGGTTTATCATCTGAATGAAAAGTTATTTCAAAATAAGAAATATTTTTTTATTTGTCCTCTAATAGAAATATATGGAAATGTATTGTAAAATAATGACATAAATTTCAATTTTTTTAAGTACTTTGAGTATTCGAAATGTTTTATATAAAGTTAAATTGCGATGCAGAGATTATAGTTGTTCTGTAAATAAATAAAATATTAATTTTGTTCTAAATTTTTGTAAATTGAAGATTTACAAAAGACTTTAAGAATCATAATAAGATTTTGTATAAATCATTTTGAATACTTCAAGTATTTATACAAAAAGATTGAAATTTTTGTCGTTTTTTTTTTATTTTTATAGTAATAAAAATAATACAAATAAAGAGTAAATAAATAATAAAACGTGTTATTTAATCAACGTAGAATGTTAGAAACACAACTGTCCTATATATACGTACAGATTATTGTAAAAGTGAGTGCAATACATTCTTAAAAAAAATCATGTCTGATAAATGTTGAATTATTAAGACCAAACAAGGCTCGTTTTAAAGAGGATTGCTGTAGAGATCAGATTTCTTTCTAATTTAAAGACAACAATTGCGAAACACGAGACGTAGTAATTTCAGTCTTTTTACCAGGTTGCGTAAATTGTGCGAATTGTTTACATAATTTTTCTTCGATCTGACGTCAATGTAAAAGCAACGTAAAAGCTTTCCTTTGACGCAAAAGAAAATCAGTAGCGGCTTAAGGCACTTATAGCCTCGCCCGCAATCTGTTTTAGATCTTCGAATACACACACAAAACAAAGATAATATTTAGTTTCAATTAATTAATATTATATAATAAATTATATAATAAACTAAGTTTCAATTAATAAATATTTTATTATAAAAAAAGATTATTCTGAAGTCGCAATGGACGTACAAAGTTTGTAATGTATACCTGTGTCTTTATCGAGTATGGAAATCTACATTGGCGCAGAGTAGTAAACAAACGAAATAGAACAAAACAAATATAGGTATTTAAACTCCGAGTCATCATGGTAGGTTGAAGGGAAGGCTGGAAAGGGAAGTTGCGGAGTTGTTGTTGACAGCGTAAATTTGAAAGCGACTTGTCTTTAAAACGCACTGCCGTGACGAGGACGTCGCTGCGGTGCAATATGCGAGTGATGCGAGTGAAACATGGCCGCGAACGTGAGAACAGGTGAGTGATAACGTAACGGCCCGTCGACGCGCCGCCGCGAGTTGCAGTTTTCCGGTATACGAATCGAGACCGAGACACGTGAGTCACAGCCAGTGTCCTTGTCCCGGAAACCAGGACGCGATGTCGCGGTCCATCCCGTCGCGTGCGACGTGGTGCGACGTCTTCCGTTGGTCCGCGCTGTTTCTCGCAATAAATACCCGGTCGTCCCCATCGCGGCGGCGCGGCGAACTCTGACTTTTCTCGGCCCGCCGACTCCCTGCGATCTCTGCCCGTTCGACCCACAATCGTCGACGGACGCGAGATAAGGCACGCTGTGACTGGCTTGCGTCTCACTTATCGCTGTGAATGCTGTGGTATCCGCGTCGAGTAGGCGTGTATCGTGCACAATCGTTCGTCGCAATCGCGAAGCGACACAACAGACGCGTACGCGCGTCTGCCCGTTCGTCCTGTTCCTCCATCTGTCACGCATTTTGTTTTGGAAAATTTTTTGTAACCGTTGTCTCTACGCTCCGTCGCGCTTGCTTTGTGATTGTGTTGTGAGCGGTGAGCGCGCGCGCGCACGCGAAACGCGTGCGTACCAGCGTGTGCGAGGAACCGATCGTGCGTCAGAGCCGAGCTGCTTACTGCCCAGTCTGATTATTCTCGCCTGTCGTTGTTACTTTCAGACATGCCGATACCGACGCGCGCGGCGCCTCGTCCTCCGGGTCAGAGCACGACGCAGAGGGACCCGATCTGGAGCACCAGGTAAAGCGTCTTGTGTTTTTGCAAGGTCGTCTGCTTCTTATGGCTGTGCACTGTACAATAGGCATCTTACGTAGTCAATAATGGGTGCTTTTCATTTGGTGATATAAGTGATACAAGCATCATTCATCTTTCTTGACATTCAGTGATTAACAAAAATAAAATGACACTTATGTCGACTTATGTCATCAAATGAAAAACAATACTGTCAGCACCAAAAAATACTGACAATAGGCCTGTTTTCTGTGCCTGAATTAGTAGACACTTTTGGAATTTAAAGCGAGATAACTATATATTTGATGTTTGACGAAAGCGAGAAAGAGAATTCTAGTAGTCTAGCGCGAGAATAAAAAATAGGTCTGATATTGATCATGTGTTAATGCTTTTCATGCTTCCACGGGTATTTTCTGAACAGAAGCTATGTATTTCATGGATTATCTCCGTGTTTTGACACATTTTAAATGTCACTTCAGAGTGAGGAGCCAGTCAGTATCATCAGGCTGCTCCTTACCTTGGAGTAAACTGCAATGTTCACGAAACATTCTAATAATAGATTTGAACAGTGAATAGGTAACCCGGGAAACACATATGGTGCTTTTCGGCAAGAGACAGTGGCTGTGTTCAGTAAAGAAAGCAGCTTTGCAATTGTAAGATTCTTTAATATGATTGATTTATACATTTAGAGTCATCAGTGGGGAACTCTAAGAGCGAGACTAAAATATTAAAGACTTTTACAACAGTTTTAAAGCTGTTTTTCTGCTGAACACAGCCAGTGTAACACAGATCATTTCATCTTTGTTTAACATTGAGAAACAACAAGAATATAATAATTCACTGGATTACACTGTGTCATCTGTATTTCTTGCTAGAAAGCACTCATAACTTTTGTATTGATTATGTGTAGTTTATATTGATGGTTTGATATAGAATATTGGCAGTGGTCCAGATCTCTTCATTCTCGAGTATTATTACTACAGTGATATTCCTTTTTATAACAAAACTATACTGATGCTTGAGAATTAAGAAATCCAGCAATCCATCAATATTAAGCACATACGATTAATATTTTCAGTATTTGTTGATACAGTATTATTGACTGTAAGATCCACAATATACATAAAACTAATTGTAGGCTGAAATATTGTCAATAATATTGATTGTGTAAGGTTGTAAAAATATTGATGCATACTATCAGTATGACTGATTTAATATTACTGATCAATATTATTGATAAAATTTGTATTATACTCTCCACACTTAAAACAAGTGTATAATTAAGTATTGAGAAAAAAGAAAGAAGAGCTTATATATGAATATAGAAGAATTTGACTACGAAGAATAAATCTCTTATCTCTGAAAATGCTTGTAGAAACTTCCATTTAGATTGTCAGTGTCCGGAATTTTTCTAGCCTCTGCATTATTATGATAACGTTTATATGCTTTCAGTAACGATATATTCGGAGGAGCTCTGACAACGCAACCTGGACAGAAGAAAAAGCCACCTCCTCGACCACCGCCTCCGAAATTTAATCGCAATTACCTACAATATCAGAAAGATCAGAAACTGAGAAAGCCAGTAAGTATTGTAATTTATAAATTTATTATATGCTTGTAATTCTTGACAGATCTGTTTCTAATGCATGCAATAGTTTGACATTTCACGATGGCGTGATCACCTAGCATGTCGATAACCGTTATCCTACTCTGGATTACCATTAACGAAACACTTCCTACAAAGGACAACAGCGATATTTTTGTGACCTAAAGACTGCGTTTCAAAACTCACTGACAGTGCTGAAAATCTATAGTGCACGTAACGTAAATTATAGATTTTCAGCGTTGGCAATATAACATAATTAAAGTATATATGTGTGTGCTACCAGTGCATGTTAGTTGTGTATCATGATCTGCCAATGTAATATCTCCGGTGGTCACGTCATTCGCGAAAAAACGATTAGTCGTATAAATATGTTATCCCTCATAAATACACAAATAGCTATATTTTATTTTGTACATTAGGCCAGGCCGACGGAGCTGTTGACTAATTTCTTCGGACGAAAGAAGCAAGAGAATCATCTTCCATTGCGTCCAAGTGGCCAGTTACAAAACCAGATAACACAACCCTCGAATTCAATCGCGACGGTATCTTTGATAGATCTCAGCCCACCTGGATCCCCGACATTTACAACACGCTCCAGTGATGGTGTCAGTGTAGATAGTTTTGGCAGTGACGGAAACTCCAATCCATCTGTATTTACAAGCAGCGGAAACACATCGCAAACGGAAAGTGCCTTTGAAGATGATTTTGACTTTTTCGGTATATCCACCAAGAAAGTAACACAAAATGACCCGTGGCAAACTAAAACAACAGTGCAAGATCCGTTCGGACCTCTAGAGGACACTTGCTCGAATGTGTCTCGAGTCACTGGCGGTCACTTTCCTTTTAATTCCAACAATCGCGAAACGAACCAAGTGCCTTCCATTCTAATCACTTCTAAACCTCTCGTTACATCGATGCCCACGATAATCCGAGCGAAACCTCCTAAGCCTCCGGCACCAAAGATACCGTTTAAGAAACTCGAACCGATACCGAAGGAAACGTGTATCGACTTCGCAGTCTCGAGTAGCAGCATAATGAACAAACCGTTGACGTTGCATTTCTCTAATGCATGGTCCAACGATGATGAAGAAAGTGATAGTCCGTCGCCACCCATGCCGACGATTCCACCACCGGCATTACCTGCGAATTATTTGACAGAACTTAGCAGTGATTTTAAAGTGAGTGTTGTAAACATCAAGCTATATGGCTTGTATTTAAAGGAAGATAAAATGCATTTGTAATTGATATTAATTGCTTAACAATTTACAGGGAGATTCTAATGAATCTTACGGTATTGCGCTGTACGATTTTTCCGCAACTCATCCAGATGACTTAACTTTAAAAGAGGGCGACATTGTACAATTGGTGAAAAAAGTTAACGACGACTGGTTGGAGGGAAAAATAGGAAATCGTCAAGGGATCTTCCCGCTTAATTTCGTTGATATCAAAATACCTCTGCCAGGTTTACCAGACAATGTAGTCACGGCCCTTTACGCTTTTCCGGGAGAGAACGGCGACGACTTGTCATTTGAGGTATCAAAGATTTAAGGCAAAGTAATTGAATGAAAGATCTATTATGTTCCTAACATTGTTTTAATACTTCAGGAGGGAGCGAAAATTACAGTCATATCAAGGATATCGGAAGATTGGTTATATGGTGAGTACAACGGTAGAAGAGGACAATTTCCAGTAAATTATATAAATAGACTTCCACGTAATATTTAAACATTTTTTCAATGAATATTTTGTATCCAGTATATTAACAATTTACTATTTCGAGAGCCTCCGTGTTGCTAACATTATTAAGAATTATTAATTACATTTTCACAAATTAATAAGGATAGTGATAAAAAGAGAAAGTGTACAAATGGATTTTTTTATCATGTAATTTTGATCATATACAAATCGCTAAAGAGAAAAAAAATTTTAGAAAATTTTACTGATAAAAAGACTGAATCATATATACGAGTTTTTATCGCCGTGTTCCAATAGACATAATTTTCAAAAGTAATTGCGATATTTGTCTTTAGGAATTAGAAAATAATATCTGCGATATATGGTGATATCTAGAATTCATTTAGCTTACTCTTTTTAAAACTTTTTAAGTCCTATACTGTTTGCAATATTTTGTAAAGGATACTATGAAAATCTAATACAGTGAATCCCGTTTCTATCTTAATTTTATTTTGAGATTTATGCTTGCATCTAATGTTTGAGAGTTTAATTTTTACTAAATATTTTGTACATGTCTTACATTTTTCTAATAGTATAAAAACAATATATTTACATTTCATTTTTTATTTATTGTATAATTGAGAATTTTTGTATATCTGCGTTTTCGAAGATTTACTTTAAATATTTCAAAATCTATTTTGGAAATTTTATACGAGGACATACTTTGTTGGCGAGCATACAGTTGAAGTTTTTTGGCATATACAAAAAATAGTCATTTAAACACAATTTAAATAAATTGTGTTTTATATATACATATATATATATATATGATATAAAATAGATCTGCTAAGATCTATAAATTGTTAATATTGACGTGAACGATTGATGTGAACAATACATTTTGATTAAAATATTTTCTTCCCAAGCGTTATTTAAGGAGTTCGTTTTTTATAGACAGATTTCTAAACAATCAAATGAAAAATAATCAGTAACGTATAATAAATCAACCTGACTAAGACTCCTTATAAATCAGACAAGGAAAGAAAAAGGGCAATAGGAGTCAAGAGCGGGAGACGTTGCGCAAATAACACGACTATCGTAGCGTAAAACTTCTTTATTTTACTAAAGCGCTAAAAGAAATCAGAGTTGGCAAACGTTACTTTTCAGTTACTTTGTTATTACCTTTTATAGTAAACCATTTGATGACAATTTTTGCAATTTTTTATGACAGTAACGCTAACTAACTAAACGGTAAGATTGTACTAAGGTTAGAAAAGTCACTTTGAAAGGTAACTTGTCATTATTATGCGTTACACTGAAAAAGTTATAAGTATAACGAGTAACGCGTAACGTTACTCATTACTAAAAAGTAACGCGTTACAAATTAGAAGTTATTTTTTTCAGTAACGAATGACTTTTTCAATTCATTATAAGTAACGATTGACTTTTCTAACTCTGATGTTAGCGTTACCATCATAAAAAATTCACAATGTCATTACCAAATCGTTATTATAACAAAGTAACGATCAACAAAGTAACGGCGTTACAAGTAACGCGTTACTTGCCAACCCTGAAAATAATATATATAATAACAGTTTTCGTTAGATAATTTCACTGATTCAGATACTATTTTGGAATTTTTTTTAGTGAGCATAAAAACAAAATTTTTTTCAGTGAGCATAAAAACAAAATTTTTTTCGTTGTATATATTGTGTTCGAGAATCTAGTGTATCTTATAATAAAGTTAGGAATTATTTGATACATTTTCCCTATTTATATGAACTATAAATATAAATTGATATTTGATTTTCTTTTAAGAATAAATTATAAATTTAAAGATGATTATATTAGTGTATAAATAAATACGTTGGATGTCTATATAACTATATTGTATTATACACATATTTTTCGTCTTAGAATTTATTTCAGTAAAAGTTACCAACATGGTACAGTTGTAAATGTATATTATGTGAATGCTTAACTGATTGGGAGGGAGGGAAGGAGAAAAGCGATTACGTAGTTTAGACTGTTCATTTAATCTGCCGTTAAAATGAGTAATTATTATTGTATATGTATATACTTAATCATGTTCATACGCAAGTTGTGTAATTATGTTTGATACAATTAATTTAGCATATGCATTGAATTCGAATATTTCATAAAACGCCAAGTCACTAGCTAAATTTTAGGAAAAACAAAATCAGCAGTGAATTTTGTATATTGCTCTAAGTTATTTCGTATCGATTTAAAAATAGTGGTACAAGTTCTAATAGTACATCTTACTACATCTTAGTCCATCTTATATTCTTGTACCCTTCGCTCGAAATTTTTGTTAGTACAGTATTATCACGATATCCCAGATTGCATCTGCATGGGGACCAGAACGTTAGTTTATAAGATTAGAAAAGGCGAGTGATGATAGTGAAAAATTGGAAATTATAGTTAAAATGTAATAACAAATCTTTACATGTAATTAAATCGCTATTTAATTCTAAGAAACTTCGCTGTTATGCAGAAGACGCCTAATACGCAATGTGATATTTTGCAATGTTTAATGTGTAAACATTTCATGTGTAAACAAAATAAACTGCAAAAAAAATAAACTTACCCGAATATAATTTCTGCTTCCCGAGAACTAACTTCCGGAATCAATTAAAAAGATACGATGAGTACGTATATAAAATCAAGAAAGAGATGATTAATTATTTATCACGTTTGAGTTGAATGTGTACTTATCTTTTCTGCCGGGTTTAAGACGGATTCTTTTAAGACGGATGTATATATGAGCTACATATAATGCACCGTTCCTATATTCCGAAAAGAGTTTTCTTCCTAATGTACTTTGCTTTACAAAATTAGGTAACGTTGCTGTCTCTTTCATTGGAATTTCTTCTGTTATTGAATATGATTGAATTATTTGTCACATTAAACTGTTTGCTTCGTACAACAGGTCTCGTTAGCAATGTGATGCAAGATCGTAAATGTTTGTTACTGCATACATTGCACTTTTTGTGGCACGGCAGATATGTATCTGTATAATTTTTCAACATTTGCGCAACGACACTTCTGAATTTATTTCCTGTAAGGTAATACAGAAAAAAATTTATTGCGAAATTCCAGTGGTATATATGAAAGAACAAGCCGTGGCACCACTTCAGTAACATCTTCTCTTGCAACCTGAAAAATCCCGCCGTATTAAGATATCTATATACGTATATATTTTTTTAAGTAAAATAAAGTACGATAATTGTAATTATATAAATAAATATATATTATTTATTACATAAAAAAATATCGCAAGAGAAATAATTTGAGAATAGCGTAATATAGAAAACATTTTTAATGTCAGTTTCTGTATTTTCAATAGATACCAGTGTATGTATCTCTCGTTCTCTCCCGCATTACTAGGATGTTTGATTAAAATCACGTCCCAATAAAGTTCCAACGTTTCGACAATTCCCAATGGCAGCAGCAAGATCAAATGTACTATCGATACCGCGAATAACGTTCTACTTGAATTGTTTGTTCTGTTGCTTCTGTACCTAAAATTATCTGAGGCGAAGGTCACTGTTAAATCTTCCCGTACGATGACGTCGTGCATCAACGATCGCGGCGAAGACTTACGAGTTAATTCGTTGTGAATCTTATAAGACCTCCTCATACGAACGATCAGTAGCAGATTGCCGATCGATATAAAAAGCAAGGGCAGCCACGTGGACAGGGCGATGTAAAAGTACATGGCGCTGCCCCATGGCTTCATCTTCTGGCACGGTACAAATTCGAAAACGCTGTCAGTTTCGTATCCTACAATCAGCGTAAGTCAGCATTCATTGACCAGAAGAGAACAATCAACACATAATCGTATAGTGACGCAATTGACTCATAAAGGGGAAAGGTGATATGGGATGTACGCTTTACCACCAGAGTACAGCTTCGTTAAGGATATTATGAAGCTTATGCAGACTAGGCTGGTGATAATTGTAATCGCGGAGCGAGTCTGATCGCGGGCTCCGAATGGAAACATCACGGCGATGGCACGCGTCCATGTGAGAGCGACAATCAGCCAGGTCGATGTAAATTGAAAAAGTTCCATGCTCACGGAATTCGCGCCGCATAAAAATTTGCTGTTCTGTAAGAAAATTATCCTGAGCGCATCGTACAAAAGTTTGATTCTCTCGTAATCCACTTTCTTCCTAACATTCCAAAATTTATCGAGATGTTGAAATGAATTTACACGCCCAGAAATTTTGCTTTTTTTTTTGTTTCATCATATACACAGAATTTTTATTATTAATAAACAAATAAACATATAACGATAAAACATTGCGTAATATGAAATAAGAGAATATTCTCATAGGATATTAATATCACTAATGTGTTGAAAAGCATTTGTTAAAAAAAAAAATGAAAACAGAATAACATGTTGTATTAATAGCGTTTGTAAGTAATAGAATGTCATTTCAAAAATCAAGCGTCAGTCAGATAATCACCATCACAATCAACATGTTAACAATAGGTCTATTTTTACAGCTGAACTAGTGCTCACTCTTGGCATTTAAAGTAAAATAAGTATCTGATTTAAGTGAAATTTAAAGTGAAATAGATGTTTGATATTTGGCAAAAGCGAGGGAAAGTTCTAGTGCAGTCCAGTGCAGCAATAAAAATAAACCGTTATAATTTCAATTTCAAGAAGTCAATGGTCAATCGAGTTCAAGGCGGAAATAATAGTCTTTTTTTCAACGATTCCTTTCGGTTGGCATTACCGTGCATACAATAAGACTTCCTCAGATTTCGACCTTTACTAAAGTCTCTTCCTCAGTTGACGTTGAGATTTATTCAGGGCTATCAATTGAGGAAGACCTTGATCCAATTGAAAGGAACGGTTTGAAGAACAAATTGAAATTATAGTTATCTTTATTAACCAGAGCTAACCAAATTGATTTTGTTCCGTCTGAATGGACGAATTTCTTGTGGCAGAAGGACCGATAATTATGCAACAAGAGAAAATTAATTAAACACAGGATATTTACCATAAAAAGATCGTTAACGAACGTGGAGTGCGATTTTGCGACGCTGACGGCGTAATTGAATATTAACGCTCCATTGTCCGATATAGCGAGCGCGCTTAGATAAAGTGACAAATTGGAGTCACATAGCACAGGTGCGCTCAACATACTAAAAGATACAGCATTTAGCAATACACCTATACGAAGTGGGTTACAACGTTGTATGAGAACAGTCGAGAATTGTAAGGTGCGCATCGCGATATTCCTTACCGAGTATTATAATAAATGGCGTTACATAGCGGAGCAAGAAACGGACGGATTTGACGAATGGCTGTAAAGACAGCCAGTACGAGCGTACTTCGCAGGGCCATTTAGTTTCTAAATCAGGCTGACTAGTATTGCGAATGAAATCCAAAACTGTTATTGGCAAGAGACACTTCGGAATGGCTCTGAAATTTTAAGGGATGTAGGATACAATTATTCAACAATAATTCAATGTGCGCATAAAAAATTAAAAAAACTAATAAAAATATCGCGTAATAAAGTATATAATGAAAAAATATACATGGAAAGTAAACAGTTTCGCTGAAATATCTAAAATTTAATTAGATACAAATCTGAAAGTAATTTTGTTGGAATTTATCAAAATAATTATGTACAATGTTCAAGCATGATGATAATGTCGCAAAAAGTTTTGACATTCTAGCTACCATTTTGCGTCCTACATAATTATGAAAGTTCAACAAAATTATTTTCAGATCTGTATCCAACTAAATTTTTTAATACTTCAAAAAAATCGTTCTTTCTATGTACACATATATATACTTTATTTCTAAGTTTTGAAACTCAACTACTTTAAAACGTTAAATGGAGACTCGAAGATGATAATATCATCGAACATTTTTACCTGGGGGAAACATTGTAAGTTGAGAAGAGCTCGTTAGAATTCACTGACAGGATACTCGCGACGAATATCAACGCACGGATACTTCTATTACGTATCAAAATCATCTTGCACCGAGCGCACAACAATCGAGAACTTAAATTTGTGTCTTCTCTGACACTAGGTTCGAAGAAGAATTATCTGTCCTGTAGCACAGATACGACTAACAATGGGCTTCTTTAATTAGAAGCTGCAGAACATCTGTTGTCGATTATCATAACATGACGTATTCAAATTTCGAAGTAAGCAGTTTGCTTGGATATTGCTTCTGGGAGGACATTAACATCGAAATTAATATATACATGCATATACATGTATGTATGTATAAAATTCCAGTTGCAGTTTAATCTGGGTAATAAAAGCTTACACCCGCGATTACATTGAAAACTATAGTTAATTTGCAGTCGCTGAAGAATATCGATTAAAAGGAATTCAATAAGCTTGAAATATATTCGGTTATCATACAACCGTATATTTTATTTTCAAACTGAAAAACAGTTAACACAGTTACACAAATTTACATGGCTAACAAACGATGTGTATAAAAGATAATCATAGCGGAAAACAATTAGTCGTCATATAATAAATCGCGTTATATCGACTGTTAATCAAAAGCTTTGAAATGATATTTACGTATATTTCATTATGTCATATCTCACGTTTCTGCACTTCAATATTATGATGCTCTGAAAGCTTTTCTATCCATTGCGAATTGGTGATATGCTATTTCGATCCGTCATGTAATCTTGTGCAACGATATCGCGAGCTTGCGAGTAGTTATTTTATTTATGCGCAATATATATTTATATATAGGAACCACTCTCATTCTATACAAATATATTTCTTAACATATATTATTAACATATAATATTTACATTTACATGATTCACACAAATTCACGAGTAAAAGGCACATGTTGAAACCACGATAGCCTGATAATAATTTCACTATTAACCGCTTTTGCGCCAAAGATGCATTGCAACTACAATTTGTCTATTGACTTCAACTTTAAAATGTTAGGTAAATAAATGCTTTGGCAAGTTATATCTAATATAACTAATATGTATTTAGTTTAATGTAATGTGTAATATGATATGCGATGTTATGTAATTTATTCGTATCGATTAATCTATTATGTCGATATCTTCTCGATATCTTTGTGATATACGCAATTTGCATAAAAAAAATATTCAATCTAGAACATAAATTCAACACCAAATTTTATATTCGAATTTCATGATAATCATTACGCTTACATTTCTCTTCTATCAAAAATATATTCCTTTCCTCTGATCTTTCGCAATGTAATCACTGATATTATAAACCTCGATTCGCTATACATTTCCTTGCAAATTCATCATCCTATTTACATTATTATTATACTCTTACGCTTTTATGTCAATATCTATCTAAATTCACACACAAAACCGTTACTGAAAAAATATTTTCGCTCCTTACGAGTGATATATTCAATTCTTTAAGTAATAATAAATGAAAGATTTAAAAAGTAAACCAATTTCGGATAATTGGCCTCCTTGCGATATATATGTTTGTTTTTATAATTCAGAGTGTAAATATATGTTTATATATTTATAGATGAACATTCATGAAGGTATATGTTGAATGATATGAGCAACTCGAAGAATCTTTGTCGAGTGACGCTTTGATATTTCCATTCATACACATTCAACATGCATGATATTAGTTGAGCTTTTCTGCAAAACAACACGTGAATTGAAAAATAAACTATAGAAGTGTACTTGCTTAAAATGCATGATTTCCGAGGTGAGTTTTGTCATTAAACCAAATGTCCAAGGAAAGCTACGCATAAAAACATTAATCATTTATATGTATCTACATGGACTATGGAACTATATAAATTATGTATCGCGTCATGTGTTGTAATCTAGATAGCTTATTACCTATACAGAAAATTTATTTGTATCTGAAATAAGCATTTAGTTTTTATAATTATTTCCTTGTACATTGTAATTATCATGATTCATATTATTGTTATTTTTTGTATCGTGATGTCTCTAAATATTCACACGTGCAGAATGATAAAACACCGACGGAAAACAATTCCTTAGTTTTTCTTTTACCGAGTGCACATAGTTCATGGTTTATGCGAAGGAAAGATCATGTAAATATTTGCGTAGATAATATATGTATACATATATAAGCCATATAGAGATTTAATTAATTTTTTAGTATACGTGGCCTTAATATTTGTATACCAAAGTATTAATAAATTAATAAACTAAGTGTGTATGCGTAATTATATTACTTGCAAACTGAGCGTTAACATTATATGCGTTTTTCTGATACTTGGTGTAATTTCAAGAAAAGTATAATTAGACCGTATTTAGTATTTAAGAAAATGCGAGCAAACGGAATAAAATTTGCCTCTATTCGTCGACAGGTTAAATGATCTTCATTTTTAGAAATATACGAGAATTGTTTTTAAACATAGTTTAGAACCATATTATGCGTCTCTCACTTTGATCAATTTAACACAGCCCTTATTTTATTATACGCTACCAAGAGGATTGCGATATTCAGTTTAGAAAGCACATATGCAACGGTTCCATTACACAGTATATAGATTTCTATATATAATTCAATATTTGTTCAATGGATCGATTAGAAGGACATTCAGTACAGAAATATCGACACTTCTGCCCGCTGTAGAGTTATCGGAAAAATAATAATCGTATAACAATTCGTTCGTACACACGTGTCCGAAAATACGATAATATGATTTTTATGATCGCTTATGTCTCTTATTATTTGACATATTATCAACTATTCAACAGATCATTAAGAGTATAATCGTTCCACAATATTTTCCTCAAGTGAAATGAGAATCTATATAAATAGCTCTGTTTGCTTTATTTTTTAAGATATTAATGATAGATGGATTATACCTATGGTATGTATGATTGAAATCAGATATGGCAATAGAGCATTCTTATTAATCTATATGACACAGACACCTCTAATGCAAAACGCTGGTTACTTCGACTTAATTATTCTACAGAATAAGTACAAATATTAGAGAAACAGAGTAAATCTGATATTCTATAAAAGGCTTTAACGTGTAGAACCGCATAAGATAAAGCACGGGCGTTATGTGTAGCTGTTTGCGATACACATTCAAATTCAAAACTAGTCTTTTGTTCTCGATCACAGCCACTGAACAGCAACAGAAACACTTGCAGTATTTTTACATGTTTTTACATATTTTTCTACAACCATTTTATGTTTTGCGGGCGCCTGGTGATGAGTAAATTTGCTTGATTTTTTTTTTCTTTAGTGCGAAAGCAATGCGGAGCTAATAACAGTCGCATTATCACATGTTAGACAAGTTGTTAGTAGAGAAATATCTGTGCGGAACCATATTAAACTGCAATGTAAAATAGTGCCTACACAATAAAGTTCCTTTACATGGGAGACGTTGTCCTGATATTTTGGTAATCCTATCCCTGTTTTATTCGAGAAACAGTATATTATATATGTATATATATTAACAAGAATAGAGTAAACAGTACTATGATAGCAGTGCCATTTAAGTAAATTAAAATGTATCATTATCCATAAAATTAAAATTTATTAATAAACAGTTTCATCATTCTTCTTAAGACTAGTTTAACATTAGCTTAAAAGGAAAACGGATATGTGACAGAAATGTCCACGCGCTAAGTGTTAATCATTCTTCTAAGGTCATACGATTGGACATAAGATTATGCGGCGGCATATGCGTAAAAAGTGATTATGTTGACCTTTTCATTAAAAAGCAAGAATTAATGAGCTCGTTCATGGCAGTTTTCTACAATATTTCCTTATGTCCTTCTGTGCCCAATAATTGCGCTGATGCTATTCTACAGCTCCGTACTGTTTGCCCTATTATAGACTGATGCGTTTTGCAATTAAAATTCCATCTCATCGGTATATATATTTTACATTTATCAGCGATTGCTATTTATATTTCGTTTAAAATCTATATCGATATCTCTTAATCGCGCGTGACAACGCATGCTTCTTCATTTCGGATGATTTATTCGTGTTAAAATATTTTGTGAAATTTGTATCAGAAAGTAAAGTTGCGCTTTACATTTCATACTTTCTAATATCACGGTGGTAAGAAATTAACCTATAGTTAAAATAAGTTTCTATGTATGTACACGTATGTATGTACAACATGAGTGCGCGTGCATGTAGCATTATGCACGATTAGACAGATTGATTAGCGTGACTCATTTTGACGTTATTATCCATACTTTAATAAATTCGTTGTACTGAATCAGATTAATTTCTTACCTGAAGGCTTAAATTCTAGTTCACGAGTACAGATTACCAAACGTTACAAGGAACTCGGATAAAATAACGATGAGATTATTTTTGTAATTGCTGAATAAATTAATAAATAAAGCTGTCGAGTAGTTTTCAGCGCAAAAAAAATTTAAGAATATAGAAAATGATTTATGATCGCATCTATTCCAAACGTATATAATGAATATCTCTGAGAAAATAATCATTCGGTTTGTTTGCAATATTTTTTAAATTTATATTAATTATAAAGAATTAACAGTTGCCATTTTCTTTCTATGATCAAAACGTGATCTATTCTCTGTTATGTCGAATTATTGTACTGTGCATTCCTACCCAGAATATTTACAAAAATATGCATTACATAAGTACCAGAAAAGTACCTATATCATCGTAGCGGCACTTCATCTTCTCTATATTTCTCTGCATGTCAGTTGCACATTGCACATTGCTGATTATTTGCATTGTACATATTATTAATTGTACGATTGCCCATTGCTTAGTCGGGCCTATAGATTGGAATCTTTGGAATAAATTCAATCAAAAGAACCTGTAATTTCAAGAAAACCGAATGTTATTAAAATAAGACTTATCAAAATTTTCCTAAAACTTTAATAATTTCATAGTGCCTTACATATTCCATCATGGAGGAGCTGTCGCATCTTTGTTTTGCCAATCTCCAATGTAAACCGAGTTTGTGGTATAGCCTACTATTCTCCCATTCTAACAATTTATTTAACGAATGCTGAGTCTAGAAAGATAATCCTTGTTAATGTCTTGTATGTATGTATATATTAAAATCTAATTAAAACTACTAAATTATCCAACTTGTTTTTTGTAACTTATATAAGCTTTACTCTCTAAAACTTTTAAAGCGTATCTCACTCTAAAGAGTAAAATCTCACTCTCGAAGATTGAAAATTGATCTACTCTTTTCCAAAACTGTATAAATTTTCACTCTTTAGAGTGAGATTCCATTCCAAAAAATTTAGAGAGTTATAAATTGGACTTTCTTACAATTAATTATACGCACCCTTTTGCTCAAGCAAATGACAGGCCACAGAGAACATCCTAGAGTACAGCAACAGCATACACAACCGCAGAATAACCACTTAACGTTAACAGGTAAAGTTTTTTTCAATACACTGTTCACTCTCATAACAGTCGCCTTGAACTCTTCTGGAGCCACGCGGGACATGAGGCCGTTGGGAAACTCCGATTCAAAACGGTTACTGAGACCGAATCTGAAAGAAAAATCGCACATATCTAAGACATTTTTTTACGTGTCTTTTTTTTAACGATTTGGATTAAACTTGTCATTGAAATCCTTTTGAACAAAGTGGAAGTAAAAATATTGACTCCAAGGTAAACAACAATTTAATTATACAAGTTCCGCAAATCGCTGAATATTCATTTTTTTCTAAGAAAAAATAACACGATGTCGCTGGCGACATCGAAACAACAATGGGAGAGACGTGGACGTGTTGCCAAGTAGAACATCGAAATTAAGGAGATCAGGTGGCTTTGTTTGCTTCTCTTCTTTGTGGAATCGTGAATCCTGCCCTCCCCTCCTCCCCTCTCTGTCCTTCCAGACAACAAAGAACCTCTCGGACGCACGGCTTGGAGTGGCGCTTCACGAAAGAAACTTACACTGTCATGTTGCCAGCCCCGCGGATCACGATCGGGTCCGGCACCATCGCGACGTAGTGCTCCTCTAGACGCTGTTCATGTTCCTCCTCCTCCTCGTAGATTGCGTCAAAATCCGCCATCGTGCTCCCCCTCGGACTCGCCGTCTCCCTCGGACGTGAGTCGCTCGTATATACCGCGTTCAACGACGATAACAACACTGCCGGGCGCGTGTCTCTTACCCCCCTCGATTAGCCGGCCAGGTCGTCGTGGTTGCTGGTCGTCAACGACGACGACGCCGCGCGGCGCTCTCGCGAGCGCGTTCCTCTCGCTCACATCCCCGCCGAGACGGTGGGTTTCCAGCACGCCGTCACGTTCGCTCCGTCACGATTATTGCGAGCGACGATCATCTCCGTCGTGAGACCGGGCTAGGCCAGCTGCTAGACGCACTCTTGATGACAACGACGACGATAGTCACGATATCGTTCACCGCCAGCGTTCGCGTCGTATTATCTACGTAATGTTGTCGCCACTCGCTTCAGCTCCAGCTCCACCGATCACCGATGCAAAGTGCACACTGCGGATGTGATATGCGTAATGTGATCCGCTCGCTCACGGCTCGTCGATCTCTCCTCTGCTCCGAGCAGTTCGAGCTCCGACCTGCTCCGATTTCAGGTCTGCCAAAGGAACGCGCAAACGCAAAGGGGTGATAGTGTGCATTAGTCATTGGCGAATCCAGAAATTTGTCAAGGACGGGGGCCACTGGAGCGTCGCAAGCAAAATTTTTTTTTAAGTCAAATATGAAAAAATAGAATATTTAAATTATTACTGGCATTACATTGAAAAAGTATTATTTAAATGTATAATTATATTACGTTTTACTTAAAATTATATTAACACAAAAAAATAATGTAATAAAATCTATATATATTTTTTATACCTACGGAAGTTTCATAAATTAAAAAAATATTTTTAAGATCAAAATTGTAATTAAACATTTTAGAAATATTAAAAATATTTATAACATTTTGCATAAATATTTTTAAAAAAGATTTCAAGGAGGAACCCATGGCCTCCATAGATCTCTCGTAGATCCGTCAGTGGAACTGATGGCTGGTGCGACCATTTTAGCGCATGCGTCGCAGCACAAGTGCTAGCAGACGTTACATTCTCAACCGCGTATATTTCGCTGTGAAAAAAGATGTCAGTAGACTCCTCTTTTATAAAATTCATTCTTTAATTTCTTTAAAATTAAAGAATTTTTTGCTGCAACATGTTACGTGGTAGTATATACATAATAAATTTTATTAAAAAACTATATATTTAATATATGCTGCATATTATTAATACAAATTGTACATCTTCTAGAAGAAATACAAAATGAATATGAAATACATTTTATTTTACTTGTACAAAATAAATTGAAATAATGTTCAATCATCATCTGATGAGTTTTCGTAAGATTTTTTAACATAAATATGTTGTAATGAAAACGCTGACGTGACCGAGCATCGGTAATTAAGTTTATGCTATAATAAAATACATTGTGTGATATTCTACAATCGATTAATTAATACTTAAAATTTTAAATAATTCTTTGTTTCTTTCTAAACTGATTACAGAAGACGTGTACAAAAGAATGATAGATCAATTACAAATTAATTTAGCAAATGTTAATTAACTATTAATTATTTGATTGATCATTGCGCGTCTATTACATTATCTTATATTAATACATCTCTCTAAATTGTCTTTTTCATAAAGAGAAGAGAAAGAGCCAAGAGAATAAATCTAAATAAGTTCATTTTTAAATAAATAAAAAATTTAAATGATTAATCTTAAAATTGAAACGTTATAATTCCTAAGAAAACAGATTAGATCACTGTTATTATTTAACTCCATTGTAATAGCAACGTCAGTAATGTTGGAAATATGGTTGAAAATAAACATGAATTCAATATAATTAATAACAAAATCACATTCGGTGAGATTAAACTGAGCATTCGATAAGATAGAATTGGAATAAGGTAGAATTTTTCGGGAGATGTTACATAATCAATTTTTAGTTTGATTTTTTACGCAACTTGAGCACTTCTTGCTACAATATATTATGCAACATTACAAGTTTCTCGAAATGTCCTCGGAATTCGGAACAAAATTCCTCGGAAGTTACTCAAGTAAATTGCTTCCTGTTCATTTAATAAATATATAATAGAATTATATTATATATAAATTATAATAGAATTATATTATATATAAATATTTAATAGAGTTATGTTAATAGACATACTAAAATGGAAAGTAATCCGCAAAAAGATTCATTTACATTTTACGTTTTTTAGGCCAACTTCGAACTCCGCAAAGAAAGCGAGTTAACTGACGATGTTGCGTAACACGTCATTTGTAGGGGAAAAGAAGGATCAGCACGATCAGTCGTGCGATTTAACGGCACGCGAAATCGGACAACAGTGGACGAATACGTTCAGCCCACAACTCAGCTTCATAGCGTGAGGATCTTGGGACGATAAATGATGAATCATAGCATTACGCATCACGCACACGCGTTATGTCGCGTAGACTGTCCATGCGTACAAAAATACTCTCGAGTCATTACGCGGCTTTAAGCGCATTTCAATCAGAGTGCAACGGCCGCTCGACTAGAAATCGCGGAACCGTCAACAGCGCAATATAATGATTGTCAATCAATTCGATGCAACAGTTGAGATTAATAGAAATGACGACACCTCTCCGGGCGACGCGCTAACTTGTCGCGCGAATTCGCAATCGGAACGATAACTGTTGTACGCAATAATGTTTAATTTGTCGCTGAAAGAAGAAACAGTCGCAATAAAAATGAATGTTTAATCAAAGCTGTATCGTTACTTTTATATAATGGATTTTAGTAAACATGTATATTTGATAAGAAAAATAAAATATTTTGAAATAGATCAAGAAATGCTTAAACACAAATAAGAGAAGAATGCCATTATTAAATGCATTATTATTTGCAATATAATATTGCAATTATATAAATGTAATATTATATTTTTATTAAAATAAAACTTCGAAAATATTTAAACAATAACGTTTCATATACATATATATAGCCAGAATGAACCGACGATAAGTATGGTAAAAAGAGAAGTATAACATATGGCAGTCAGTAATAATAATCAATTAATTTTATGATCTATGACAGAGAAATAAAGCAGTGTTATAGGGCTAACATATTTCTTCCACCTCGTGCAAATAGTTTCTCCAATCTGTGTTATACTTGACTGACTAAATCATAAATAGCAGTGAAACGTAAAACTTTTCGTTAGTCCGCTATGAATTCGTGGAGTGCAAAGGCTTTCGTATTTTTCCTAATTGTTTCAGTGTCGCGTAGAAATGCTCAACAGCAGCCTCGATATTTCAAATTTCATAACAAAAGGATCATTGATTTCAATGATGATACCATCACGATCAATAAACAGCTATCGAACAGTGAGTACAAACATATCCTTAATAATAATTAAAGAATTCGGTAGTAAAAAATGATATTATCATTTTGTTTTGTTAAAATCAAATAATAATTAATATAATAGGCATAATAATTTAATATAATAAGCAGAATTTTGAGAACTTATGCTTTCAATAATATTCTATTTGTGTATAAATGGTTTATCATGTAATTTATTTTTTCTCAATGCTATTATAGATAGAGGAGAAGGTGGTATTACGGCCAATGTATATATTGTGGCCTCCCTTAATATCTCCGCTATTATATAGCGAATCCTAATGATTACTTACGCAATTATTAGTTTAGTAGCTCGCCGTTACACCATGACGCTAATATTACCAATACTCAATAACCAGTACTTATTATAACGCATTTTTACTTTCAAGTATTTCGAAACGTTTCTGAGATAAATTTTAGCATTTAATTACACCTACTTCCTCATTTTTCTTAAATTTGAGCGTATTATCACATGAATATATGTATTTTTGAGTGTGTTATTTGCAGGGTTGGGTAAATTAATGTTTTTTTTAACTGAATAAAGTTAAAATTAATGGCTTTACAAAATTAATAAAGTTAAGTAAAAAGTTGAAGGAATAAAAAATTAACTTAACGAAAATTAAATTAATATTGAATTAAGTTAAAAAAAAAGTTAGTTTCGAAAAAAATTATTTTTGAGGTCAAAATGTCCTAATTTTTTAAAAAATGAGATTAAATAACAACTACAATATAGATAATTAAGTAAATTAAATTTTTAATTTTTTTATTCGCATATGATATAACATAACTTTTTAGGTTTTTACTTTTTAACAAGCCTTAAGCCATAAAAAATGGACCAATTACAGTCAAATATTCTCCTCGCATTCGACTGTAATTGGCCAATTTCTTATGACTTAAGGCTTAAAACACCTATTGTAAATCCGGACTAAGGCTTATGGCATAAGGCATAAGCCAATCAGAGGGCTGTATTAGCATCTTAAGAAATTACTTAAGATGGTCTTAAAATATGAACGGATTACGAATATACGCCCTTAGTCTTATTATATTTTATTATTTTTCTAAGTGATTTAAGATAAAAAAAATTTTTAACTTAAAAAAAAGTTAAAAAATTAACGTTTAAAAGTAACTTAGTTAAGTTAAAATTTAATGCATTTAAAATTAACTAAGTTAATTTAAAACTTAAGTTAAGTTAAAACACTGGTTATTTGCTATTTAACATTTTATTTGACTGTATTTATTTTGAGTTATGCAAATTTAAACAATACCATGGCATTTTACTAATGTGATCATCTATGGATATTGATTACTTACAATCTCTTTTTTGAGATTTTCATATCAAAATAATTATTTGATAATCGATTGTATAGCTCTATGGTTAATCTATAGTTTATACTACGTATACTATTTTTAGTACTGAGCAGTTTATATGCAAAGTTATGTGAATCTATATACATTCATTTTAAAATGTTTACTTTTTTGTCAATTTTGTAATCAAATACTGTTTTCTAAACAAATATTTTAAGGCTATTTTTATGAAAGGCTACATTACCACCCATTTTTTTCTTCGAGTCATTATGTAATGTCACCACATTTTTATTAATAATATCCTAAGTAATAAATATTTCGTAACTTTGAGTCCAGAATCGATTCAACAACATTTTAACAAATGTAATTGTCAAGTTTTAAACTTAAATATTGATTATTAACAAAGTTATTGTGTAAAATGTAACTGGGGTGCCATAATACCACCTTCTCCTCTATATTATGTATTTGTATCTTAAAAAAGTATATTTGTATCCTAAAGATTAACTAACGGCTTTATAACGTTTTTCAGACATGCATATTGTCTGGGTAAACTTATGCGTTTTTATATTTATACATCAGTATATATATTTTTATTTTCATTTATATCTTTTTCTTGAGAGAGTCCACTGTTTTCTGTGAATATCTTTTTGTCATTAATAAGCCAAACAATTGGAGAGGATAGCCGGTGGAAGTTACGCGAATGAAGGTCAATTTCCGTTCATGGCCGTGGTGCATCGGTTGATCGATGGTAAGAGAGTCGCTCAGTGCGGCGGTACCATCATTTCGAAAAGATGGGTACTGACCGCGGGACACTGCATCGCAAAGTACCCGCAAAGATTTTTCGTGATATTTGGAATCATTGATAAGACCGGGATCGGTTACGACATGAATCGAGGATCTGGAGTCTCAATGATGACGACGCAGGCTCACGTACATCCCGACTATTTTTTCAGCAAGAACGATATCGGACTGTTGCACCTGCCGCAAGACATTCCTTTTTCAGGTAAAAAATATTCATCAATGGAGAACGCGTGACTTTATGGCATTTCTTGATGAAGAACTTCAGAGATATAAAAGATAAAATTATTAATAATAATCACAGAATTATAGTTTTTGCGGTTCAACGAAACTTTAATTTTAGAAAAAATTCAACCGATACATCTGGCTGGTCTAAAGGATGATAAAGTTATGGCCGATACGATGGCCTATGTTGTTGGATGGGGTCGCGATGGGTACGGTCCCAAAGGAACCAAGAGGCTTATGTATGCCTTAATGCCGCTAATTTCGAAACGCGAGTGCGTCTCGTACTGGAGAGTGGATTACAGAAATATATGCACGAAAACAGGATTTGGAAAAAGCGCGTGTCAGGTAACAAATTTAATTTTATAATAAAAAAGGAAATTAACAATAATATAATATAATAATAATATATATATAATTTCACAAAAAAAGAAAATTTAAATATTATATATTTACTCAAATTTAAGAATACGTTAAAGTTCCTCGTAATTATTATAGTTATTCGTTTTATTCTGACACGATATGTCTTAGGGTGATAGCGGAGGTCCTCTTTTTGTAATAAAGGACGATCAGCCGCTACAAATTGGTATTGTTAGCTACGGAGACGCAAATTGTCCAAGCGATAGACCGGGGGTATATACTAGAGTAGCAGCATTTACAAAATGGATTCAACGTGTCACTGGAATGTAATTCGAATAAATAAACATTGTGAAGATATCGTGTCTTTAATTACGGGATTTCTCGATAACCACAAGTGTATCCTGTCATTTTAGTAAAATTGTTATTCCCTTATTCTCTCTTTTCTTTAGATATATCCATTTTCTTCAGATATTATTTTCATGTGCTTTTCTGTAAATGATAGGAAGTTGTAATCTGCATTACTACAAAAATGTATGTGTTCTATTTAGCTTGTAATTAAGATAGAAGACAAACAATTTTATTCGTCTTCGAATTCATTGTCTTCATTTCCGTCGAGTTATTATCCGTCGAGTAGCTAACTCATAGGATATAATTTTCTTTTCGCGTTTATAGGAATAAGATAGACAACATCGCGATATTATCGACAGTGGCAACACATTGTGTCTGATAATGTCATTATACATTATAGTAATATATAAAGCAAATTAAAATAAAATTTTTATGATTATTTAAAATTTTGTCAATACACTCTTTTATGTAGAAAAGTCAAATTAAGAATCATCTTATCGATTGTTAATTTTATGTAGTCAATTCACTTCTTGTTCTTGGAGTCCACGTATGATGGCGACATTGTCTCAATGTTTATAGTTCGCATTTAATAAATGCAACATCGTACAAAAATCATAACATTACTTTATAATAAATACATTATATTTATCTTTAGTGAAAAAAATTATTATAATCTCTTATATTTTTTTTTTTTAAGAATTTTTCATATTTTTTTTGTGACGCTTTATAAAAGTACCTTAAGTACCTTCTTCAGATTTTATGATTTTCTTCGGAAATTATACAATGAAAAAATCTCACACACAATATATATTTTAGAATTTATATGTATACAAAATTTTATAGAAAGGATATTGACTTTATCAGTATTTTTAAAAAATTGTTCTAATTCGTATAAAAAATCTAAGAAATTTTTATTATACAGAAATTCTGAAAAATTTTGAAATTATATTAAATTCTCAAAAATAACGTGTCTGTTTACTAATTTGCATTATATAATCTTATCACTGTAAAGAAATATGAATTACATATTAAAAATATGATTAACAATTTACTTCTTTAAACATACAAACAATTTTAAAAAATGAGAATCTAATATAATCTATCGCGAAAATTTTTTTCTTAAAATTGTTTATATAATTTTTAAAATTTCTATATAAATTTCAAAATTTTTCAGAATTTCTGCACAATATTATTAATTTCTTCATTTTTATTATCAATTAGGAATGGATGAGCCTATTAATATTTGCGTACGCGCATTATTCATATACAAGCTGATAATACGCGAAATGTGAAAATCATACGTCAGTAATGAAGCAATGACAAAATTTTGCAAATCATTCATATCTTCCGACTTTTTTGCGCAACGCGCAAATCGTCGTGTCGTATTATTTGATGGCATGTGCAGCAGAATGCATATCGAGCTTCGAGAGTAACTGTGCCTCTTCGGACGTGTACATAGTAATCACGGACGCTTCTCGGCACAGTTAAAATGTGATTAAAGCGGTCACGGATGAGAGCCGGCGCGATTGCGGGGCCGATAAAAATCTCGGCGAAACAGGCGAGGAAAGGTGATGAGATGCGATTTATAATTGTCTGGCACGAATGCAGAACGGAGCTCTGTTGTCCTGTTCGGGCGGCTATTACCGCAAAATCGTAGCGAAGGTTCCTTCCTGACAATGAGTTTAACCACCTGCCTCGGCGACGATCCGGCGAAATTATTGCTTTCCAAATGCTCCGGCGCGAATTTGCGACACACGAAATAATATTAGAGAAACTGCAAAAAGAATTATCAACCGTACCAAAAAATTATATAACTGATACGATTGGTAAACTGTTATGAACATTATTATGAACTGCATAAAATTTCATAACTTTAACTGAGATTTTAAAAAGCAAATGAAAATCGGAATGAGGCGGAAAATAAAAAGAGTGATTTTATATGCTCCAAAACATATCTTCAATTTTTATTAGCATTTCTTTTTAAATATTAATATATCGATCAAAAATTGTTAGAGTTTAAGAATATTTTAGCACATTTTTCGCCGATGACAACGGATTTCAAAATGACGTTTGTATATGAATCGCACATTCTTCGATCGCGGACCATTTCGTATTACCACTTATTAGCAATTTGGAGAAATCATAATTAGAACTTTATCTCCGCGCGTTCCTGTCTCGGATTCCTTTAAATAACTCGGCGTGTATAATTTACGATATAATGCCGGGCAAGCGCAATTTAGCACGAAGGGTGGATCCTTTTTTCGATACAAAGGGTTTCGTTGCTTTGTGCTTGCAAAGAAGAAGTGTTTCAGTCGAACACTAGGTTAATTCCGATGATAATACGCGCGCTTTTGTGTACTGGCCGGTGTACCATATTTATACATTTTTACACGCCAATTTTACGGTCTGCTGAAGCGGCTGTGTATGATGCAGTCATGGCACTCCGACCATTCTTTAGCTCCTCTTTCATGTACGAAAAATGGTGAGTCGTGAGAATTTGCAAAAATATTTTGCGCTTTATTTCGTTTAATAAGACTCAGAATAGGGCTTTTTCTTTATTAATTTGAAATAGTCACCTAATTTTTTATTGCGTAAACGATTATCCGGGATGATTTTTACATCCCAATTAAAAGTCTATCATTAATTATATAATGTATATTATTGATTGTTCTACGTATAATTTATTAGTATGAGATCATTGTAGATATACAGATTTATTTAATATTTTCTAAAAAGAGCAATTTAGAAACCTAAATATGAATTTTCAATCGGTAAAGAAACCTACTGTGACTGACAAGGAAAGTTTCACGATTTAATTCTCCATGAAGTATGTTGTTAAACACGAAAATCTAAGAGTATTTTTTTATACGTGCGCTAACTCATGTTTAAGGGGTGAAACACATTCATGGGGAATTAAATCGGTTCCGGACAGTTGTGAAACTTCCCTTGTGAGTTCCATTTTCTTCGCTGGGATGTAAAAATCACTTTAAGCGATTATTCCTAAATTAATAAAATTCTTAAATTTGGTTGTTACCCCAGTCGAAATTTTTCTCCTACTTTGAACCTTAGTTTTAGGACGTAAGTAAACTCTAAAGATTTATAATTAGGACATATGTAGGCTGTAGAGATTTATAATAGGTTTTAATCTAATGAATTGAACTCCTACGAGCCTGTAAATGGCAGTTAATAGAAAATTTTCTATTTTTAGGTTCAAAAGAAGTTTTCTAAATAGAAGCTGTAGATTAAGTAATATTAAAAGAGGTCCTATTTGATTGTTTAAGTATCAAAACAGGTTTATAAGGTTTAATTGAGGTTGAAAGAGATTGAAGGTAGGACTAAAATTTTGACTCGGGATAGACCATTCAGAAATTACTTAACTTGAAAATGCAGGCAGATCAGCTTATGCATTACGCGTTAAAAGATACGTGACGGCGTCGGTTAATAATATATCTAGACGTATGTTATATATAAACACGTTCCTGTGGCGAAAGTAGCTGGTCACGATTTAACATCGCTCATTAACCTCGTTAATAGCCTACATCATCAGAAAATTGGTTTTGTCTTAATCTTAACACCGTCTCTTCCGTGATGCACTTTTATATTCTATAGAATTAAATTATGTTTTCTCGGGAATAATTAAATCTGTGTTTCAATATTATCTAGCTTGTATATCTATGGAATATAAATATGTATAATTAATCAAACTTTCTTTGTTTCAATAAGTATTTATTATTAGTTTCTATGTTTATGTTTTTGGTAAATAATTTTGTTTTAATTAACAAAAATTAAATCTGACATATATAAAAAAAGCTGTAAAAACCTTAAAATAAAATTCACAGTATGTGGATAAAAAAATAATGTAAATATTATAATATTAAAAAAAGGAGCATATAAACTCGCTAATACGCAAAGAAATTACTTATAAAATTAACATTCATTATGCGTTTCTTAAGTAAATATTGTCTAGAGAAAATTAAATTACTTAAAATTTTTATTTAAACATATGCAAAATATTTCGGAAGAGAGAAAAATGGAATAACATTAAATGCCATGATTCTAAAATTAGAATATCCTGTCTTAGAGATAGCAGACAAGGTCTCGAGAAATTTGCAAATCAGATAGGCGAGTCCATCCTTTCAACAATCTTAAATCGGGCAACATCTTATTTTTGGCATTTAGAGCGGTCTCTTCAAACGTCGATGCGACCGTTGACCGCCGTGCTCGACGGTTGATCCAAGCCCGTCGTAGATAAACACGAGAACATTTTACACGACGTGTCTTCCTTTTCTGCCACGTTGTAGAGGGGGTTAAAAAGACGGCGATTAGTCAAGCGAAATCGTCCATCGCGTCTGAACATACGAGGAACACATGCGACTTGAGTTACGCGGCACCTCTCGAAATAG